GTCTCACAACCCCTCTCCCCACGTGACACACCAACCAGTCTGACAACCCCTCTCCCCACGTGACACACCACCCAGTCTCACAACCCCTCTCCCCACGTGACACACCACCCAGTCTCACAACCCCTCACGTGACACACCACCCAGTCTCACAACCCCTCTCCCACGTGACACACCACCCAGTCTCACAACCCCTCTCCCCACGTGACACACCACCCAGTCTCACAACCCCTCACGTGACACACCACCCTGCCTAACAACCCCTCTCTCCACTAACCAGATTGGAAGAACCTGTCAGAGTACGGAGTAACAGTAACCACCCACCCCCTGCCTAACAACCCCTCCCCCACTAACCAGATTGGAAGAACCTGTCAGAGTACGGAGTAACAGTAACCACCCACCCCCTGCCTAACAACCCCTCCCCCCACTAACCAGATTGGAAGAACCTGTCAGAGTACGGAGTAACAGTAACCACCCACCCCCTGCCTAACAACCCCTCCCCCCACTAACCAGATTGGAAGAACTTGTCAGAGTACGGTGTAACAGTAACCACCCACCCCCTACCTAACAACCCCTCCCCCACTAACCAGAATGGAAGAACCTGTCAGAGTACGGAGTAACAGTAACCACCCACCCCCTGCCTAACAACCCCTCCCCCCACTAACCAGATTGGAAGAACCTGTCAGAGTACGGAGTAACAGTAACCACCCACCCCCTGCCTAACAACCCCTCTCCCCACTAACCAGATTGGAAGAACCTGTCAGAGTACGGAGTAACAGTAACCACCCACCCCCTGCCTAACAACCCCTCCCCCCACTAACCAGATTGGAAGAACCTGTCAGAGTACGGAGTAACAGTAACCACCCACCCCCTGCCTAACAACCCCTCCCCCCACTAACCAGATTGGAAGAACTTGTCAGAGTACGGTGTAACAGTAACCACCCACCCCCTGCCTAACAACCCCTCCCCCCACTAACCAGATTGGAAGAACCTGTCAGAGTACGGAGTAACAGTAACCACCCACCCCCTGCCTAACAACCCCTCCCCCCACTAACCAGATTGGAAGAACTTGTCAGAGTACGGTGTAACAGTAACCACCCACCCCCTGCCTAACAACCCCTCCCCCCACTAACCAGATTGGAAGAACCTGTCAGAGTACGGAGTAACAGTAACCACCCACCCCCTGCCTAACAACCCCTCCCCCCACTAACCAGATTGGAAGAACCTGTCAGAGTACGGAGTAACAGTAACCACCCACCCCCTACCTAACAACCCCTCCCCCACTAACCAGATTGGAAGAACCTGTCAGAGTACGGAGTAACAGTAACCACCCACCCCCTGCCTAACAACCCCTCCCCCCACTAACCAGATTGGAAGAACCTGTCAGAGTACGGAGTAACAGTAACCACCCACCCCCTGCCTAACAACCCCTCCCCCCACTAACCAGATTGGAAGAACTTGTCAGAGTACGGTGTAACAGTAACCACCCACCCCCTACCTAACAACCCCTCCCCCACTAACCAGATTGGAAGAACCTGTCAGAGTACGGAGTAACAGTAACCACCCACCCCCTGCCTAACAACCCCTCCCCCCACTAACCAGATTGGAAGAACCTGTCAGAGTACGGAGTAACAGTAACCACCCACCCCCTGCCTAACAACCCCTCTCCCCACTAACCAGATTGGAAGAACCTGTCAGAGTACGGAGTAACAGTAACCACCCACCCCCTGCCTAACCAGGGTTCCCATTCACGCAGAGGCAGGCAGAGCATTTTCATGCTATCCTAAAAAGAAATAAAAAATATCTCCCTCACGTGAAACACCACCCAGTCTCACAACCCTCTCCCCACGTGACACACCACCCAGTCTCACAACCCCTCTCCCCACGTGACACACCACCCAGTCTCACAACCCCTCTCCCCCACGTGACACACCACCTAGTCTCACAACCCCTCTACCCCACGTGACACACCACCTAGTCTCACAACCCCTATCCCCACGTGACACACCGCCCAGTCTGACAACCCCTCTCCCCACGTGACACATCACCCAGTCTCACAACCCCTCTCCCCACGTGACACACCAACCAGTCTGACAACCCCTCTCCCCACGTGACACACCACCCAGTCTCACAACCCCTCTCCCCACGTGACACACCACCCAGTCTCACAACCCCTCTCCCCACGTGACACACCACCTAGTCTCACAACCCCTCACGTGAAACACCACCCAGTCTCACAACCCCTCTCCCCCACGTGACACACCACCTAGTCTCACAACCCCTCTCCCCCACGTGACACACCACCCAGTCTCACAACTCCTCACGTGAAACACCACCCAGTCTCACAACCCCTCACGTGACACACCACCCAGCCTCACAACCCCTCACGTGACACACCACCTAGTCTCACAACCCCTCACGTGACACACCACCTAGTCTCACAACCCCTCACCTGACACACCACCTAGTCTCACAACCCCTCACGTGACACACCACCCAGTCTCACAACCCCTCTCCCCACGTGACACATCACCCAGTCTCACAACCCCTCTCCCCACGTGACACACCACCCAGTCTCACAACCCCTCTCCCCACGTGACACACCACCTAGTCTCACAACCCCTCTCCCCACGTGACACACCACCCAGTCTCACAACCCCTCTCCCCACGTGACACACCAACTAGTCTCACAACCCCTCACGTGAAACACCACCCAGTCTCACAACCCCTCTCCCCACGTGACACACCACCCAGTCTCACAACCCCTCTCCCCACGTGACACACCACCTAGTCTCACATCCCCTCACGTGACACACCACCTAGTCTCACAACCCCTCACCTGACACACCACCTAGTCTCACAACCCCTCACGTGACACACCACCCAGTCTCACAACCCCTCTCCCCACGTGACGCACCACCCATTCTCACAACCCCTCTCCCCACGTGACACACCACCCAGTCTCACAACCCCTCTCCCCACGTGACACACCACCTAGTCTCACAACCCCTCTCCCCACGTGACACACCACCCAGTCTCACAACCCCTCTCCCCACGTGACACACCACCTAGTCTCACAACCCCTCACGTGAAACACCACCCAGTCTCACAACCCCTCTCCCCCACGTGACACACCACCCAGTCTCACAACTCCTCACGTGACACACCACCCAGCCTCACAACCCCTCTCCCCACGTGACACACCACCCAGTCTCACAACCCCTCACGTGACACACCACCTAGTCTCACAACCCCTCACGTGACACACCACCTAGTCTCACAACCCCTCACCTGACACACCACCTAGTCTCACAACCCCTCACGTGACACACCACCCAGTCTCACAACCCCTCTCCCCACGTGACACACCACCCATTCTCACAACCCCTCTCCCCACGTGACACACCACCCAGTCTCACAACCCCTCACGTGACACACCAACCAGTCTCACAACCCCTCTCCCCACGTGACACACCACCCAGTCTCACAACCCCTCACGTGACACACCACCCAGTCTCACAACCCCTCTCCCACGTGACACACCACCCAGTCTCAGTACCCCTCTCCCACGTGACACACCACCCAGTCTCACAACCCCTCTCCCCACGTGACACACCACCCAGTCTCACAACCCCTCACGTGACACACCACCCTGCCTAACAACCCCTCTCTCCACTAACCAGATTGGAAGAACCTGTCAGAGTACGGAGTAACAGTAACCACCCACCCCCTGCCTAACAACCCCTTCCCCCACTAACCAGATTGGAAGAACCTGTCAGAGTACGAAGTAACAGTAACCACCCACCCCCTGCCTAACAACCCCTCCCCCCACTAACCAGATTGGAAGAACCTGTCAGAGTACGAAGTAACAGTAACCACCCACCCCCTACCTAACAACCCCTCTCCCCACTAACCAGATTGGAAGAACCTGTCAGAGTACGGAGTAACAGTAACCACCCACCCCCTGCCTAACAACCCCTCCCCCCACTAACCAGATTGGAAGAACCTGTCAGAGTACGGAGTAACAGTAACCACCCACCCCCTGCCTAACAACCCCTCCCCCACTAACCAGATTGGAAGAACCTGTCAGAGTACGGAGTAACAGTAACCACCCACCCCCTGCCTAACAACCCCTCCCCCACTAACCAGATTGGAAGAACCTGTCAGAGTACGGAGTAACAGTAACCACCCACCCCCTGCCTAACAACCCCTCCCCCACTAACCAGATTGGAAGAACCTGTCAGAGTACGGAGTAACAGTAACCACCCACCCCCTGCCTAACAACCCTTCCCCCACTAACCAGATTGGAAGAACCTGTCAGAGTACGGAGTAACAGTAACCACCCACCCCCTGCCTAACAATCCCTCCCCCACTAACCAGATTGGAAGAACCTGTCAGAGTACGGAGTAACAGTAACCACCCACCCCCTGCCTAACAACCCCTCCCCCCACTAACCAGATTGGAAGAACCTGTCAGAGTACAGAGTAACAGTAACCACCCACCCCCTGCCTAACAACCCCTCCCCCCACTAACCAGATTGGAAGAACCTGTCAGAGTACAGAGTAACAGTAACCACCCACCCCCTGCCTAACAACCCCTCCCCCCACTAACCAGATTGGAAGAACCTGTCAGAGTACGGAGTAACAGTAACCACCCACCCCCTGCCTAACAACCCCTCCCCCCACTAACCAGATTGGAAGAACCTGTCAGAGTATAGAGTAACAGTAACCACCCACCCCCTGCCTAACAACCCCTCCCCCCACTAACCAGATTGGAAGAACCTGTCAGAGTACGGAGTAACAGTAACCACCCACCCCCTGCCTAACAACCCCTCCCCCCACTAACCAGATTGGAAGAACCTGTCAGAGTACGGAGTAACAGTAACCACCCACCCCCTGCCTAACAACCCCTCCCCCCTCTAACCAGATTGGAAGAACTTGTAAGAGTACGGAGTAACAGTAACCACCCACCCCTGCCTAACAACCCCTCCCCCCACTAACCAGATTGGAAGAACTTGTCAGAGTACGGAGTAACAGTAACCACCCACCCACTACCTAACAACGGCTCCCTAGCTGATGTTTGGGAGTTACTGGACGAGGAGAGTTACGATCTGGTTATCAGCATGTTTATTATCATCGCTCTTAGCTTCGTTCCTGCTAGTTTCGTACTCTTTCTAGTCAGTGAGAGGTTGGTAATAGGAAATAAGTTTAGATAAGTTTAGGTATACTATGGGTTTTCTGTAAAGCAAAATTTGAGATTTATATAAAACAAAATCTGATCAAACATTTTTCAAATAAGAATAATACAAACTTTTTCAAATTTGTTAATACAAAATTTAGAAAACTAAATACAAAATGTTCCTCTGCAGATGCTCTAGTTTGTACCTGCTAGAATGCATCTCCGGATCCCGTATATTCCCGTACCTCCGTACTAACACAACCTCTCTCTCTGCAGATGCTCTAGTTTGTACCTGCTAGAATGTATCTCCGGATCCCGTATATTCCCGTACCTCCGTACTAACACACTCTCTCTCTCTGCAGATGCTCTAGTTTGTACCTGCTAGAATGTATCTCCGGATCCCGTATATTCCCGTACTGGATGTCTAACTTTCTGTGGGACCTGGTCTCCTTCACCGTCGCTAACTGTGGGTGCATACTGGTGATTGTTATATTCCACTCTCCCTCCTTCTCCAGTGCGGATAACATTCCCGCTACATTTGTTATGTTCACTCTCTACGCCTGGTCCATCACTCCCCTCATGTTAGTGCAGCTTTACGCTGGTTACTATGGTTACTATGGTTACTATGGTTACTATGGTTACTATGGTTACTATGGTTACTATGGTTACTATGGTTACTATGGTTACTATGGTTACTATGGTTACTATGGTTGTTTTACACATTTGGTGTGTTTGTTAAGGCGTAGTTCGGCTGTTGAGACCTGACAAGAAAGATGTTATATAATATTATATCATTGCTTTATGTTATATATTATCACAGCAATACTCAAATAAGTTGTATCCATCAAGCCGATGCTAACGTTTATAAAGCAGGCAAATCATTCTTACTTCCCAGGTACATATTCTCTAAGACGTTCAGCGAGCCGAACAACGCATACGTAGTGATGATCTGCCTCAACACTTTCTGCGGAATAACCACTACTCTCATCACCTTCCTTATAGAGTTCCTTGCCCCTAATGACATAGGTAACTTACTTTCATATGTGGCTTTACATTTGATTCTTCATATCCATTCTACATATTTATCTTGTCGTGTTGTTGTTCTCGTTGTTCTCTTACATTTGATTCTTCATATCCTCTCATCTTTTCATGTTATTGTTCTCGTAGCCTACTTATTATACTTCCAGCTCTTACTTAACACTACATCTGTTACAGGAATGATAAGTATTAACAATATCCTGAAGTACGTGTTCCTGGTATTCCCCAATTACTGTCTAGGTAGAGGCATCATGGACCTGGCTGCTAACCAGTTCGCTAACGACCTCCGGGTCATGTACGGTAAGAGACAGTAACCATAGTAACTAACGGTAAGAGAATAGTGCTTACTTTGGTGAGAGCATAGTGCTTACTTTGGTAAGAGAATAAACTTTGGTTTGCTGGTCTGGACTTGTTAATGGTAGTCTATATCAGCTCCGAGCATGCTTTTGATATTGTTGGTGTTATTAGTTGATCAATAAGAGAATCAAATTGGGAATTTAGTGGCTGGTTACTAGGGTTTAGTGGCATAAATGATAGCCGATAGCTAGTAGCTACTTAGCACTACTAATAAAACTCATTGTTAGAATCTCACATTGTAGTGTTTAGTAGGGAGCATAGTAAGGAATCTTACGAAAATCCCTCACTGTCAGGGTACCCGAAGATATCCCCGTGGAACTGGGATTTGATTGGACGGAACCTCACATTCATGGGAGTTACCGGAGTTATCTACATAGTCCTACTCTGTATCATGAGTATACCTAGGAAGGGGAGGCGACGGAATGTGCCTAATGTTAACAAGGATTTGGAGGACGAGGATGTCAGGTAGTTTTTTTTGTGGTCACTGCTATGGTTACTATGGTCACTATGGTTACTATAGTTACTATGGTTACTATGACTACTATGGTTACTATGGTTACTATGGTTACTATGGTTACTATGGTTGCTATGGTTGCTATGGTTGCTATGGCTACTATGGTTAATATGGTTGCTATGGTTACTATGGTTACTATGGTTACTATGGTTACTATGGTTACTATGGTTACTATGGTTACTATGGTTACTATGGTTACTATGGTTACTATGGTTACTATGGTTATTATGGTTATTATGGTTACTATGGTTACTATGGTTACTATGGTTACTATGGTTACTATGGTTACTATGGTTACTATGGTTACTATGGTTACTATGGTTACTATGGGTACTATGGTTACTATGGTTACTATGGTTACTATGGTTACTATGGTTACTATGGTTACTATGGTTACTATGGTTACTATGGTTACTATGGTTACTATGGTTACTATGGTTACTATGGTTACTATGGTTACTATGGTTACTATGGTTACTATGGTTACTATGGTTACTAATCGAGACGAGTGCATTTACATTTTATATCTGATTACTCAGTAAATATTCAATACAGTAACTGGTTACTAGGCGGGTTGCTGGTTACTAGGGCTGCTGGTTACTAGGGCTGCTGGTTACTAGGGCTGCTGGTTACTAGGGCTGCTGGTTATTAGGGTTGCTGGTTACTAGGGTTGATGGTTACTAGGGTTGCTGGTTACTAGGGTTGCCGGTTACTAGGGTTGCTGGTTACTAGGGTTGCTGGTTACTAGGGTTGCTGGTTACTAGGGTTGCTGGCTACTAGGGTTGCTGGTTACCAGGGTTGCCGGTTACTAGGGTTGCTGGTTACTAGGGTTGCTGATTACTAGGGTTGCTGATTACTAAGGTTGCTGGTTACTAGGGTTGCTGATTACTTAGGTTGCTGGTTACTAGGGTTGCTGGTTACTTTAGCCACCGTCTAGGTAAACCAGTAACCCCTAGTAATTTTGTAGTATTAAGCAGATAATTTATAATTATATCCTCAGAACTGAGCGAAAAAGGACGATCTGCTCTTACGGGTATAACGACATTCTCAAGACCCAGAACTTGTGCAAAGTCTTCGGAAAGAAACACATTGCAGTTAACAGACTGGCTTTCTCGGTCGCTCCTGGTCAGTCTAAACTCACTGATCTCTGTACAACTTTCCTTATCTTCAAATTTTCAACGTGATAAAATCTATCATCATATTTTTAAGACTAGCAATATGATTTTCAGGAGAGTGTTTCGGTTTACTGGGTATAAACTAGCAATATGATTTTCAGGAGAGTGTTTCGGTTTACTGGGTATAAACTAGCAATATGATTTTCAGGAGAGTGTTTCGGTTTACTGGGTATAAACTAGCAATATGATTTTCAGGAGAGTGTTTCGGTTTACTGGGTATAAACTAACAATATGATTTTCAGGAGAGTGTTTCGGTTTACTGGGTATAAACTAGCAATATGATTTTCAGGAGAGTGTTTCGGTTTACTGGGTATAAACTAGCAATATGATTTTCAGGAGAGTGTTTCGGTTTACTGGGTATAAACTAGCAATATGATTTTCAGGAGAGTGTTTCGGTTTACTGGGTATAAACTAGCAATATGATTTTCAGGAGAGTGTTTCGGTTTACTGGGTATAAACGGAGCTGGAAAAACAACATCCTTCAAAATGCTGACTGGAGAAATTACACCTTCTAATGGAGACGCGGTAAGAGTTTAGTAGCCATAGTAAAGATATGTGCTTCTATAGTAACCATTGCTTAGTTACTAGTAACCACAATTACAATTTGTATCGTAGTGTGAGTTATGAGTGTGTTGGTTAGTGGCTCTTATTTACTTACAGGTTACTACATACTATTATTTAAGGATCATAAACAAGTTCTTGGTCTCAATAGTAAGTTTAACTTACTACTTTACTTCTAACGCCAAAAAGATGCTGAAAACTGCTGAAAACTGAATCCCCCTGCAGGTAGTATCCCAAATGAGTCTGTGTCACCAGATAAGTACCACTCGCAGACAAATGGGATACTGTCCCCAAACAGATGCTCTTCTACCCACACTCACTGCCTACGAGACTCTTGCTCTGTTCGCTAGATTGAGGGGTATACCGGAGTGTCATATTGACAACATGTCAAGGAAGGTATGTTCGCTAGATTGAGGGGTATACCGGAGTGTCATATTGACAACATGTCAAGGAAGGTATGTAATGTTCGCTAGATTGAGGGGTATACCGGAGTGTCATATTGACAACATGTCAAGGAAGGTATGTAATGTTCGCTAGATTGAGGGGTATACCGGAGTGTCATATTGACAACATGTCAAGGAAGGTATGTTCGCTAGATTGAGGGGTATACCGGAGTGTCATATTGACAACATGTCAAGGAAGGTATGTTCGCTAGATTGAGGGGTATACCGGAGTGTCATATTGACAACATGTCAAGGAAGGTATGTTTGCTAGATTGAGGGGTATACCGGAGTGTCATATTGACAACATGTCAAGGAAGGTATGTTCGCTAGATTGAGGGGTATACCGGAGTGTCATATTGACAACATGTCAAGGAAGGTATGTAATGTTCGCTAGATTGAGGGGTATACCGGAGTGTCATATTGACAACATGTCAAGGAAGGTATGTTCGCTAGATTGAGGGGTATACCGGATTGTCATATTGACAACATGTCAAGGAAGGTATGTTCGCTAGATTGAGGGGTATACCGGAGTTTCATATTGACAACATGTCAAGGAAGGTATGTCCCAGACTGTTCAAGTGCAGAATATTATCTCTCCAAGTTTTCATCTCGAATGTGTGTTCTTTATATAAACCGATTGTTGGACTTTTGTTTATTCGAGCTTAAGGATTTGCCACAGTGGATAGTATCCCACACAACCAGCCAATAAAAGCCCTCGCCAGCTGTGGCGAAACGTAATTACGTGCCCCCCCCACCCCCCCCACTGGTATTCACATTGTCCTTATCTCAGATAATCAGAACAGTAGGCCTGACCACGTGGGCGTCACGACCATGTGGTACTTACAGTGGGGGCAACAAGAGGAAACTATCAGCTGCTATTACTCTGGTGGGAGAGCCTAAACTCATCCTCATGGATGAGCCGACAGCGGGCATGGACCCTGGGGCTAGGAGGGCTCTGTGGGCAGTTATACAGGCTCAGAAGCGGAAAGGTGCGTCTAGTCGAGGCCTCGGTTGTCTTGATTGTGGTTTCCAATGATCAAGTGTTGCAGTTGACTTAAACTTACAGGCTTTTTATTGACCTCTAATAATAATATACTCTATCGTGTGAGTTGTGACACATGTTTTTATAAAGAACAACTCTCAGTAGACAGTAACCATAGTAACTAACCCTCAGTAACCATAGTAACTTACCCTCAGTAGACAGTAACCATAGCAACTAACCCTCAGTAGACAGTAACCATAGCAACTAACCCTCAGTAGACAGTAACCATAGTAACTAACCCTCAGTAACCATAGTAACTAACCCTCAGTAACCCTAGTAACTAACCCTCAGTAACCATAGTAACTAACCCTCAGTAACCATAGTAACTAACCCTCAGTAACCCTAGTAACTAACCCTCAGTAACCATAGTAACTAACCCTCAGTAACCATAGTAACTAACCCTCAGTAACCATAGTAACTAACCCTCAGTAACCATAGTAACTAACCCTCAGTAGACAGCAACCATAGTAACTAACCCTCACTAACCAAAGTAACTTACCCTCAGTAACCATAGTAACTAACCCTCAGTAACCATAGTAACTAACCCTCAGTAACCATAGTAACTAACCCTCAGTAACCCTAGTAACTAACCCTCACTAACCAAAGTAACCTCAGGCAAGGCAGTAGTGATAACCTCCCACAGCATGTCCGAGTGTGAGGTGTTATGTAGTAGAATAGGAATTATGGTAGCAGGACGGTTACGGTGTCTGGGCAGCTCTCAGCATCTCAGAGATAAGTATGGGAATGGATACGTTATCCAGCTGAAACTCAACCCTCAGGAGTACAACCTGCATAAGGTTTGTGTTATCCGCAAAGTTATTTAGTTTGTCTTATCCGAAAAGTTATTTAGTTTGTGTTATCCGCAAAGTTATTTAGTTTGTCTCATCCGCAAAGTTATTTAGTTCGTCTAATCTGAAAAGTTATTTAGTTTCATGAATTAAATTTGGGTGAGCGATTTAGTGGAAGCGTCTGAATTTTGCACACTGCACACGATTATTATTCACCACACTATCTACTGTGCAACAAGCAGCATTTCCACTACAGGTAAAAACCCACATGCAAGTTCACCTACCCGGCTCAGTACTCAAAGAAGAGAACTACTGCAACCTGAGGTACGAGATAAAACAGAACAAATGCCAGGTAGCTGACATCTTCACCGTCATGCAGCGAGCTAAGCCCATTCTGGGACTGCTCGACTACGCTGTCCATCAGACAAACCTCGAGCAAGTAAGATCGATTTGTGATTTTTCGCAGATATTATATTTGTATTCTTGATAACGTCAGCTACCATACAGATCAATCAGCTAGCGCTTCAGTTTGTTAATGTAAAAACAATTTTACGATCCCAGGTTTTTATCAACTTCGCTCAAATTGAAACACCTGATAACATCGACGATGAACTTTTGTGTTTGGAAGAAAACGTGGTTACACCGTCAAATCTTCAACTTTCTTTAGACTAACCGTTTAAGGTTTTAATGTCAAAATATCGACTTTTTAACTTGTTTTTAGAATTTTTAATTCATAATTGAATTGTTATGTCAATGATGTTATATTTTATTGTATAGTCGACATTTTAAATGATTTGAATTTAATTGGGTTTTGCATTGTTCATTTTTGATCACTTTTATATTTATTCTACCTGAGTCAGTGTTGTTTTTTTCTTCATTTCACTCAGAGTTATGGATTTTCTGTGATGAAATTATTTTGCCATCCATGTTATACATCATTAAAAAAATATTTGAATAGCAAACGATCCCAACAAAAATTCAAATATAAACCCGATTTACAGGACCTTATAATATGACCCTATTCCTATATATTGTATAGTAGCGCGATGCACTCAGAGTCAGCACTACTGGACCACGCCGCGCATCAAATACTATTTCTTGCAACCATGCTCAGTAGATCAGCGAAATGCACCACTGGGCCTCGCCGAGCTGCGAAGGATTGACATCGTGAATCAGCTTTATATACTAACCCTAGGCCTAACCAAATCCCTAACTGAATTGAATATTTATATATATTCCGAACATTGAACCTTAACGAAAAATTGAACCAACTTCTTCATTATACATATATAATATTAACAATTGATCGATTATTCGGCCGAAAATACTTTTTGATCCGGCCGGCCGGAGTGCACAAAAAAGGTATACAACGTTTAGCAAGTGATTTATTGATTGACGATGTCAACCCTTCCCAGGAACCCTGACCGGATGGGGCTTAACTTTAAAAGTAAAAGAGTTGGAGACTTCCGGTTTTTTGTAACATGTTCCTCTTTTAAAAGTAACGTTACCTCTCCAGGAGGAAAATTCAAGACAACGTAATTGTTGAGTTATCTCAAAATCTCCAGAAAAGTCCCCTTTCGGGCCGATCAAAAGTTTACAACTTTAACTTTGCGGATTCCTGTACTCTGGTTGGCTGAATTGTGTCACGTGGTAGCTGCCTGAACATTGGAATGCGCCACGCGTGCAAATCATGCTTGTTGTCGCGCGCGAGGTCAAGCCGTCTGTTTAAATTAAACCAACTCTAGTACCACCACCAGCCGGTAACTTTTCCTGGGTACGAAGTAACCAATTAGGGCTATTAAATGCCGAACACAAGGATATTTCGTATTCGGATCATATGCCTGCAGGCTGTCTGTCGAGCGATAAGTGACGTTAAGTGAAACCGTGAGCACCACTTCTTGCCAATTTGCTTTTGAATTACGGCCCAATCATGAAGTTAAACAGTACAAGTTGTGTTTTAACGGCAAAATACAGCGAATTCTAGCTCTTGAAAGTTGTAGGTTTGGAAGATCAATACGGCTGCTTTAATTCATAAAAGTCTTAAGTTAGAACGGCCAAAACACCCTACTCGGCGTCAGCCAGCTGCACCCAGGAACCCTGACCGGATGGGCAACAGATTGTTGCTCTGCAACCATTTCGTCATCTTTGTAGGTTTATAACCAACCAGGACGCGCGCCGAGTTGGACTCGGACTAATATTTGAAACAAATGTTTTACGAGTATCACCCGTTAACGTCATCTTTTTGATGCGAAGCAAGATCAAGAATTCTAGTTTGCGCGGCGCGTTGAAGCGGCAAAGTCCTCCAAGTGATTTAAAACGCCGAAAATTGCCTGTCTAGTTTTTAGTTTGCAATTGTACTTGTATATTATTTACCTGGGGACCTCAGGCTATTATGTCCATAATAGAGATTCGGCGGAATGACAGGCTGAGCGCGGCCCAGTAAATAAATTATTTGTATATATTACTTTTATATGCAGTTATTACAGAAAACCTGTCCCAACAATACAAAATTTTGACCTACGCTTTGGGCCTGCCGCGCATAAATATTAAATTGCGTGACCAAAACAGTTTTGCTAGGGGCCGGCCCGGCCGGGTGCACGATAAAAATAAACTTGCTCGGATTTTCAAAATTTTTGTACCATTGTTTTCTTGTTTCTAGAGACTGTGAGAATTTTCACAGTACCAAATTTGTTATACCTTTTTGGAATGATCAGTGAATTTCGCCTAGGTGCCATATTTGATGGTGCGCGGCTTTTGGAGCAAAATTAGGTGTAAAAGTCGCGTAATTTGGCGTAATTCGTTAATTTTTGTCGTATTATTCTGTAATATCTTCGGTTCCTTTAATAAGATCATTCTGAAAATTGGTGAAGACCTTCCAATAGAGCTTTTACAACTGTCCGAAAAATTTGATAGATATCAGAGTTGATATAGTGATCAAAATGGGGCAAAATACGCTTCTTTTAGCTGTAACATAATGTTTGATGGTTGGATAGGATATGCTTTAAATTTTTCGGACACTTTCCTTGTAAGTCTATGAGTAAGCTAACCAATTTTTGTTAAAATTAGATCGCAAGGGAAGGTTACTCAATACGTATTTGTTTCAAGAATTTTGTGCTGGCCGAAATTAGCGCTAAAAAACCATCCTACAGTCGGCACGCGCGGCTCACTGTCGATGGCGCACTACCTAGTTTTGCCGTGCCCATCACCCATATTTACTTAAATAACACATTTTATTTAATTATTATACATTTGCTCTAACCACTAACCAAAACCCTTCCGCTTGCATGCAATACCCTTTACTTTTTGATCGCGCGCGAAGCGCTCGGCGGCCGGCCGGCCTTTCCACTTTTCCAGCCGGCCAGCGTGCACGCTTCGCATGCACGAAAGAGTAGGTAGTGCGCCATCGACAGTGAGCCGCGCGTGCCGACTGTAGGATGGTTTTTTAGCGCTAATTTCGGCCAGCACAATTTTCTTCAACCAAATAGATATTAAGTATCCTTCCCGACCTCCGATCATTGCAACAAAAATTGGTAAGCTTACTCATAGACTTACAAGGAAAGTGTCCGAAACGTTTAAAGCATATCCAACCATCAGACATTATGTTACAGGTAAAAACAGCGTATTTTGCCCCATTTTGATCACTACATCAACTCCGATATCCACCAAATTTTTCGGACAGTTGTGAAAGCCCTATTGGAAGGTCGTCGCCAATTTTCAGAATGATCTCATTCAAGGAACTGAAGATATTACAGAATAATACGACAAAAATTAACGAATTACGCCAAATTACGCGACTTTTACACCTAATTTTGCTCCAAAAGCCGCACACCATCAAATATGGCACCTAGGCGAAACTCACTGATCTTTCCAAAAAGGTATGACAAATGTGGTATTGTTAAAATTCTCACAGTCTCTAGAAAACAATGGTACAACAATTTTTAAAATCCGAGCAAGTTTATTTTTATGGTGCACCCCCTAGAAAGAGTTATGTAACGTTTAGCAAGTATTTTCATTGAACAAATTAATTTGGGCGAGCAATCAAGTGAAGGATTGCTACAAGTTGCATGTTTTAACGCAAAGCGTACTTGACGCCGGCCGTTATTTACCTGGGGACCCCAGGCTAATAAATATTCGGCGGAATGACAGGCTGACTGCTGATCGCCACCGGCCCAGTAAGCCGTTACTGGCATGGGCGGCGCTCAGCCTGTCATTCCGCAAAATTTCTATTTGCGCGGCGGATGATTATGAACATAAATATAATACCCTGGGGTCCCCAGGTAAGCTGGCCTTGTATCATGTTGCGACCCCCACGGTCGTTTCACTATGGTCGTTTCACTATGGCTAATGGCTATCCTGACGATACAGGGGGAGCCGCGCACTTCGTGCGCGGCGGGTCATACAACGTATGACAAAGCTGGCCGGCGCTGATCAATAATGATCGACTCTGCGCACAAAAAAATACAACTTCAAATGTGTTTCAATAAAGTTAATGGTTAAGTAAGAATTTAAATTGCGCGCAATGCACTCGTTTTTAAAACTTCATGAATTTAATTGAGATTTGATTGTATCACGTTGTGACCCCCACGGTCGTTTCACGGTCGATACAGGGGAGCCGCGCACTCGTGCGCGGCGGGTCATAAAACGTATGACAAAGATTTGACGGGTGTTACTCCATACTCGTCTAAATCTATTCGAAGTTGTAGGTTTACAACCTACCAGGACGCGCGCCGAGTTGGACTCGTCGACGGTCCTGTATATGGAACAGATATTTTACGAGTCCAACTCGGCGAGTCCAACTCGGCGCGCGTCCTGGTAGGTTGTAAACCTACAAACGCTACTTCAAAGAAATTTAGACGAGTAACATCCGTCAAGTGTCGACAGGTTTGATGGTTTATTACGGTGATCAAGGAAGAAAATCTGCTGGCTGAACTGTTCCTTGATTGTTTCAAGAGTTTCATCGCGCAGCCTATTTTTAAGGATGCTATTTTGAATAGCCTGAATGGCAACTTTCCCTGAAGCAAAGCGCCTTATATAACAGACCCAGCTATGGTCTGACAGAGGAAGTAGAAAGAAAATGCAGTCTGCTAACATAAACTTATTAAGTTTTTGATACTTGGGGTCACTTAAGGAAATTGGTCAGTATCAACTTAAGGGTACTGAAAAAGTCTACTTCTTATCGTATATTATTGCTCTCAGTATTATAGTTTCAAATGGTATTGAAGCATGAGTAGAAAGCTGCTTACATTATGACCCTCGGAGGATTTGTTATCTGTTACCTCCACAAATGCAGGTGCAACAGGGGCACCTTCAGTCCTGACTCTGGGACCCAAAATCAAGCCTTTCTCATTTCCTCATCTGTTTGAAACACATAATTTGGCTGTTGATCGGTGTTATTGGGATCAACCACTCTCAAAGTGAGATAGGGTTGAGCAAGATAGAGACTGCTCAGCGGTTTGATGTCATCAAATTATTTGTTATATAGTAGTTTTGAAAGTATTAAAACATATCCCAACCCTTGTCAAGAAAACAACAAATTTCAAGAAAACAACAAATTTTTATTGTTAGAGTGTCCTTTGGTTAACATCTAGTATAGAAGGATCAGTTCTCGCATGCAAGCAACAAGTTATAATCGAGTGCAATGTAACAATTTTATTATTTACAGTTTACATACTTACTTAGTATATAGGGCGATCATTGATTGAAACCATTTAGACTTTTAATATTTTCCCCTCAAATTGTGATTTGCAGTTTCATTTAACCACATCGACCGCCTGAGAAACATCATCAAACAGGTGTGGTTTGCCGATGATAGTGCTGCTGGAGGAAAATTGGAGGCAGTGTATAAGTGGTGGAAGGAGTTGCTCCAAGTTGGACCTAAGTATGGTTATTTTCCTAACCCATCTAAAAGCATTCTAGTAGTGAAGGACCCTCAGATGATCGACCAGGCCAAGGCATTGTTTGGAGAGTTCAATATGCAAATAACATCAGGCACAAGGCATCTTGGTGCAGTACTTGGCAATACAGGTGTCAAAGATCAGTACATTGCCGATAAGGTCCAAGGGTGGTGCGAAGACATCAAGATGCTAGCTGATATTGCAGAATCTGAGCCTCAAGCAGCCTATTCAGCCTACATCTCTGGCATACAACACCGATGGAAGTTTGTTCAAAGGACTGTTCCTCATATCTCTGAAGCCATGGAGCCGCTAGAACATGAAATAAGACAAAAGCTTCTGCCAAAGATGCTGGGCAGGGAGATTTCAGACTTAGAGAGGGACGTGTTAAGTCTACCAATAAGATTGGGAGGATTGGGCATTGGTAAACCCCACGAGGAATGCCAGTCTGAGTACACAGCTTCCAAGCTACTCACCACCGAGCTTACAAAGGCAATAGTGGACCAACAGGAAGTTTACACTGCATCCAGTAACCTCACCAAATCAGGGAAAGAAATGATAAAAAATTTGAAGAATTCCGAGCTCCAAGCCAAGTTTAACGCTATAGCTGAAAGATGTGGCACCTCCTCTAAGAGAGCACTACTAACAGCAAGAGAAAAGGGAGCGTCCAGTTGGCTTAACACATTGCCACTTCAGCAGTATGGCTACACTCTGAACAAAGAGGAGTTTCGAGACAGTGTCTGCTTACGCTACAGTTGGTGGATACCAAACACTCCCATCACCTGTGGATGTGGGAAAACAAGTGATCTTGACCACCTTCTCACCTGTAAGCTAGGGGGCTACGTGATAATGACCCACAACAACATCAGAGACACAATGGCAAATCTACTTCGTGAGGTATGTCATGATGTAAAAGTTGAACCCCAGCTACAGAAGGTGAATGAGGGTGACTGCCTCAACCCCAAGACTATAACAGGTGACCAAGCTCGGCTTGATGTATCTGCTAGAGGAGTTTGGACTCCATTTGATAAGACCTTTCTTGACATAAGGGTTTCACACCCCAATTGCTTATCAAACAGGACAAAAACTCTTCAAGAAGTATACGAAGAGAACGAGAAAGAGAAGAAAGACGAGTACTTGGAGAGAGTGTTGAATGTGGAGAAGGCTACCTTCACCCCGGCTGTATTCCTCACATCTGGAGGAATGTCTAAAGAGTGTAAGCAGTTCGTCAACAGAGTAGCAGACCTCATTGCAAGAAAAAGGAAGGAAAGGTACTGCGATGTAGTAAGACACGTGAGAACTAGGATAAGATTTGCAATGTTGAGAACAACTCTTATTGCTCTACGAGGGTACCGAGGAAAGAAGGTGGACACCAAACGTGAGATCCAGCTATCAGAAGTTTCATACAACCTCATCCCTGCCCCTATAATGGAGTAGATCATGTGTTTTGTTAAAATGTTTTTGAAAAAATTATTAGTAGCAATGAATTGTGCTCTGCCAATTGCAACACTTAAAATTTGATTGTGCTCTGCCAATTGCATCACTTGATTTAATTGAATGTATATATATACTGTTTGACATATTTTTCATATTGTCAAAATTGATTTTATATCCTTGAATGATTTGACATTTAACCACATGAATCAAATTTCATCTTATGTACAGATGTTGTAGTCGATGGTAAGAAAAAGAGGCTGTCATACAATTGGAGTTGACGAGCTAGATGAGTCTTATTCGTTTTCTAAGAAGATGGCACATTCTAGTAAAATTTGGATTGTTTGTCCTAATTTTTGCTTCATTTATGACTGTAACAGTACTCATCAACTCAACAGTGACTTCCAACACTCCACAGGTAAGATCAAGACTAATTTCAATTAGAAAAATATCTGTTTGTCCATTGAGCTGAATGATTTAATTTGTCATTGCAATTTTTTCAATCTTAATAACTTTTGTTTACCATGTACCCCAATTTACACCCTATAAATATGGGTTTATTGTAAATGAATAAATTACTATTAATCATTATGTTTACCTCTGGTGATGGTTGTTATCAACTTGACTAGTCGGATCAATGTTACAATGCAGTTACAATGCATTGTAACTGAGATAAGACTCATCTTACCTTACAAGACATATTTATAACGTACGAAATGTGGCGGTTTTCCGAAAATTTCGCCATATTTTCGAACCGCCAAAATTTCGGTCGTCGTAATAGAATCCGCCGCATTATCTTTTAGCTTATTTCAATGACTGTGCCTTCACTGCTTTATTTTGTTTCTAAAAAGTAATATCAAGTAAAATGAATAAATAAATTCTGGCATCTTGGGACAAATTATCACCACACCAATGACGAATTGAATGTCAAGCAATACAGTTTAAATTTGCATTAAAATACATGTATGTGCTAACATGAAAGTCTTACAGTCTTAATACAGACTAAGTTTGAACATGATTTTACTGAATTTCAGAATTTTCCTTACTGCTTACTGTCACAAAAAATGATGAAAAATACCCTTATTTTCTGTGACGTCCGAAATTTGACGGTTTTTGTTCAATTTCGCCATATTTTCGGACTGCCAAAATTTCGGTCGTCGCAAATTAGGCCGCCATAAATATGTCTTGTAAGGTATTCAACTGCTCAGCAAGTGTAAACTTCCTCCATTTTCCAGAACAGATACTCCAAAGACTCTGACACTAACGAAAGGGGACATGATCCCCCAACTGATGATGTAAAGCCTACAGTGAAGGTGGAAAAAGAAGATTGGCAGCCGGTTAGTTTTTTCTAATAAAATTTTTGTTGTCCATGACTTTATTTTGCTAATCAACAATTGATAACCATATTATACTTGAGTTCATAAAAAACATTTATCAGGCAGCTTGGAAGGAATCTGATGATATCAAAAGAGTTCGAGAACAGTTACAGAATCATCTTAAGCAGGTGTTTTATCTTGCCAGTAATCAGTATTCTAGTTATGAAAGCTTTCGTTTTGGTGCTATTCACTTCACATGTTTTATTGATATAAATTGACTTTACTCACAGTATTTCCCTTTATAAGCAATAACCATGCAGTTACCTGCCGGGGAGACAGAAGAAGAGGCTAAGAAACGTGGGTTTAATACCCACGGCTACAATGCTAGACTAGCTGATACGACACCCCTTAATAGACATGTGTCTGACATGAGACACCCTATGTTAGTAGTTGAGGATTATCATTTTGAAGTTGCAATATTTATATAGTACTTTCTGGTTGTCGTCATTTTGAAGTTACAATATAAAGTAGAACCTCTCTAGATACCGTTTATATAATATAATATTATTGTGATTTTTATTTATACTGATCAATTTGTACATTTTGCCACCTCAGCTTGGCATTGAATATCAGCTACAAATTGTTATTTTCAATTCAAATGTATACCGTTACATTGACATATTGCTGATGCTAATTTAAGATAGCAAGATATTAAGAATCCTATGTTGGTCCCTAAAATCCCACATAGTCAGATAATAAATTATATTGAACTGAATATTAATTTAAAAAGTAGCATAATTAGCAGTGACCACTATCTTGTCTATGAACATACATAATATTACCTTCCTCATCAACATCCATCTCTTGTTTTTGAAATATACTCTGTATAAGGTACCTATTCGGCAGAAGTTGATTGTATGGTGGGAATGCCCTGTGCCTCTTGTCCCAGTAACCCTCACCTTGCAGGTTCATATCACCCTTCGGGGGTACGTGATCTAACTTTACCATCTTGCACACTGCAAGCTTCAAACCTGATGCTTTCATCTTTATGAAGATATCCTTGTGCTCGAGAATTTTTAGGTCGGGATCCCAGCCGCCTGTTGCTCTGACAGGTTCAGTTTTACCCATGAACAGGTTTAAATTGAGATCACATTGAAAACAGGCTGGATAGTTTGGCACTGTTCTGTTTAGCTTCTCACACGTCCCTGGGAATAGGCCCAGTTTTCTCTTTGTACCGTTGAAATATCCAAATTTGAGTAGCCCAGCTATGTTACCCCTGTGAATCAACCCTCCTCCAACCACTGTCACATCTGTGGTGTCTAGTATGTCCACCATAGTCTTCAGATCGGTGGTGCTCAACATCATCACATCATCGTCCATCAGGAGAAAATACTTCGTTTTAACCAGTGCCAGTGCTCTATTTCTACCCTCAGCTATCCCATAATCTTCATACTCACCAATAACATAGTTCAGTAAAGGGTACTGAGCTATTTTACCCATAATTTCCTCTGAATATTCGTCAGGACCATCATCAAAGCAAGCTATAGGCAGGTCGTACCCAAAGCTATCCCTGACAGACTGAGCGAGGCGCAGTATCAGGTTGGGACGGCGCCCGGTCTTTACCACTAGCGTAACACATTCCCAGTGTTTAGCACAGTGTGTCACGTGATGAGACGGTAACAGTTGAATAGGTGGGGTCAGTTTGTTTATCCCGCACATCTTGAAGTCACATGTGTCATCCCCTGAGGGTACCACTAGGTTTCTGATTAGTCTTCTGTCCAGTTGGAAGGAGGATTCCTTTAATAAAACCATCTGAGATGCTCTGTTGTTACATGTTGTGATTCCAACTGGGTCGTTTAGACATGGGCTCTCACTTTCCTTTGCCATTGGTGTCATGCACAGATAATCCCCACCTTCTATAGCTATCAGATAGGAACTGTTTTGAAGATGGAACTCAAACCTTGCCTCTTTATCAGAACATTCCATCAGTTTAAGATCAGTGTTGTTGTGTACCTCCCTATACCCAACACAACTCCCTGTTCTATCATAGATAAGCTTGCCATCACCTGTTAAACTGAAACTCTGCATCAGATCCGGGTCACAGAATGTCACTACAAGATCGGAAGCGTCAGGCGCGTCCACACAGCGTCCCTCAAACAGTCTTATACGGTGCTGGTAGAACTGGTAGTGAGTGGTGTAAGATGTTAGGTTAATGATGGTAGGACAGCCGCCAAACAGATAGAGTATGTTAGTGTCGGGAGTAAGATAATCAGGAAGGATCGTTTTCTCCAGAGACGGCCAGTGAAGAGACGTGGTGTAAGAACCATTGTACGGAACTGAAGGGGATTGTTTTACTAGCTTGCTGTTTAATTTTGTATTTGTTTATTATACCAGTTCTAGCAACCCAAATGAAAGGAAAACAATTAACCTATAAGGGGGTAATTAGGAAACAATTAGCAGCACTAAAGAAATTAAATGTCAAACAGCAACTAATACGAAGACCAAACAATATTGAAAATTCTCAGTAGTATACAAATTTGAAACTCAAACGACAACCACACAAGAAGTTTGTCATGTTTGGTGCGTGTTTCATTCAACATGGAATGCTGGCTCTACTGTTTAGTATGTACTATTAATTTATTATATTATATAATAGTAACCTCTTTACTAATACAGGGTGGGCCAAAAGTCAGTGGACATACGTTGGCCTTAATAGCTCAGTCACTGAGTGACCAATTGAAATAATTCTTTCTGGTACGACTTACTACCACCACTGGTTCGACAAAAAAGACAAAAAAGACAAAAAAGACAAAAAAAAGACGGGGACAAAAGGGACAAAATGGACAAAAAGACAGGGACAAAATGGACGAGATGGACAAAAAGGACAGGGACAAACGAGACAAATAGACAGGGACAAAATGGACAGTAAAGAAAATAAGGTCAATTATCCGTTGAAATGCAAAAAATAAGTTCAGGCACAGTTCCAACAAGCTAATAAGTTGGGTAAATTCAGACAGAACAGTAAAGTCAATCTTGGTTATATATCAGCCTTAGTGTACTCACTGTTCAAGACAACTTGGTCTAGTCCGATATGCCTGCTCACTGATTCACATTTGACGTTTGAGTTGAACTTGCATTGCAAACAACACTCAAAAAGCAAGACAACTAATATTGCACTGAGGGGATACAGAGGAAGAGATATAACTACTCTGTTTAGTTCTAGAGCTAGTTATTAGATTGAATATGGATTAAGGGCAGACATTGATGAGACTGATTATCGGGATTATCTATTACAAAATCTTAAAATTCAGAATTATACATTGTTAACAATTTCGTTTTGCTAACAGCTCTCTTCGTCTAGAATATATACATTCTCTACATTTGAGCTTGTCTAATTTTTTGTCTCATTTGTCCAAAATTTTTGTCCCTTTTGTCCCGTTTGTCCCTAGTATTGTCCATTTTGTCCCCAAAACACTGTCCTTCACAAAAAAATGTAAAAAAAGACAAAATGGACAAAATGGACAGTGGTACCCCCCCCCCCCCCCCCATTAGTCTACAAAACAAAAGAAAATGATGTTTCAAGTACAATTTCATACTACAACTGACAACATTCATCCCCCCTAATAACACTTACCAACATCTTCCAATATACACATTGATTTCTCCGGCAACCTCCCCTAGGGCTGCCATACCCCAGAGGTAGGTAGAGCATCCTCATGCTATCCTCTCGTGGGCCACCCAGGCCCAGCCTCTCTTTAAAAAAGTTAAAAAGTTGAATTTAAAAAATACTACAATATAATACTTGGTCGTAAGAAAGAAGACCAATGTCCCCAACTAACACACCTTCTAGTGTACACTGTACCCCTGTAATCTGTATGCTTAAATGTACACCCTCCCTAAAGGCAAGGCGTGTAATGACAGGGTAACTCGGTAAAAGGGACCGTACCACCGTAGTGTCTAATACAATAGTATCCGGTCCAAAACTGAGATTGAATTTAAATTCAAACAACAATAAGTTATGTACGATAAGAGCGAAGTATAATTTTCTAGATCATCAGGTGGACCTTTGATATAAAACCATTTTGAATGCTGTACCATTATAACGTGTCGGAGGATGGGCTACCCTAAAAACTTACCTAAAGCTAGTATTGTGATCTTAGTAAATTAGATAATTAGTTAATTAGTTAACTGGTTAATTAGTTAATTAGATAATTAGTTAATTATATGTGGATTCTATCAGGTGTCGGAGGATGGGCTACCCTAGAAACTTACCTAAAGCTAGTATTGTGATCTTAGTAAATTAGATAATTAGTTAATTAGTTAACTGGTTAATTAGTTAATTAGATAATTAGTTAATTATATGTGGATTCTATCAGGTGTCGGAGGATGGGCTACCCTAGAAACTTACCTAAAGCTAGTATTGTGATCTTAGTAAATTAGATAATTAGTTAATTAGTTAACTGGTTAATTAGTTATTTAGATAATTAGTTAATTATATGTGGATTCTATCAGGTGTCGGAGGATGGGCTACCCTAGAAACTTACCTAAAGCTAGTATTGTAATCTGCTTATTTAGTAAATTATATAATTAGTTTATTATCTGATAATTAGTTAATTAGTTAATTATATGCTGATTCTGTCAGGTGCCGGAGGTTGGGCTACCCTAGAAACTTACCTAAAGCTAGTATTGTGATCTGCTTATTTAGTAAATTACTTAATTAGATAATTAGTTAATTAGATAATTAGTTAATTAGATAATTAGTTAATTAGATAATTAGCTAATTATATGTGGATTCTGTCAGGTGCCGGAGGATGGGCTACCCTAGAAACTTACCTAAAGCTAGTATTGTGATCTGCTTCCACAACGAGGCACTATCTTCCCTTCTGAGGTGAGTGCGCATCTTCCTGTAATTTTAATATTATAAAGCTGATTTGTTGTTATTTGGCTGAATAATTATTGGTATATAGATCGCTAATTCATATAATTTGGTCTTCACGTTTTATTTTTCTTAAACTCATTTCCCTCTTTCTACTTTGAATTATATTGACGTGCCCCAATATTTGCACAGGGAATATTCTCTACGTGAGAAATCAGAAATGCTCAGAAATTATATGTATGTTACATATTCTGAATGTATTTATAGCTGTGGGGCCCCTTTATATTATACCTTCTACAACTTGTGGCATTGTTAATCCCTGATTTAACAAACCCTATTACTTCAGATCAGTACACAGTATATTAAACCGCTCACCTCCTGAGCTGTTGGAGGAGATTATACTGGTGGATGATGCTAGTCACAGGGAAACACACCGTGAGTTAATATGATTACTAATTAGTTAATTACTAATAAGTTAATTACTAATTTGTTAATTACTAATTAGTTAATTACTCAATAAGTTAATAAGGTTAAATGATCAGTAATTCAAGTGTCGAGTAATTTATTGCAGATTTCAAAAGTAAGGTTTCAAATAACTGGAGTTCCTATCTTAAGTAGTAGAATGCAGTACTAAGCCAACTTATCTCAGTTCAACGTGTTTAGTTAGTTTGTATATTAAAGTCATTATTGTAACGTATTGTAACGTATTGTAACGTATTGTAACATATTATATCTTGTAATTGATAATATATATGTGGATTCTGGTAAGGCATATATTTGTGTGACAGTTACTTTCGTATTTGATTCCAGTCGAAGCTGATATTTTGTCAAATGTGCCTCCCCGCCAGAAAGCACATGATCTATACTGACATCTCAATAATAATTAATAATTAATTAGAATTAATTTACCATTAATTAATAGTTTCTTATATCTAAATTGCCTCTCTCAGCGGACACGTTTGCACCGCTGGACGAGTATGTTAAGAACCTCCCCAAAGTAAAGATTCTCAGACAAGATGCGAGAATGGGGCTGATCAGGGCTAGGTTAGCTGGGGCTGCCTACAGCAAGGGCCAGGTTAGTAATTAGCTTAGTGTCTATTTAAATAGCCGAGTGTTATGTCACGTGTATTATGTCACGTGTATTATGTCACGTGTATTATGTCACGTGTGATATAGATGCGAGAATGGGACTGATCAGGGCTCGGTTAGCCGGGCAGGTTAGTTATTAGCTTAGTGTCTATTTAAATAGCCGAGTGTTATGTCACGTGTATTATGTCACGTGTATTATGTCACGTGTATTATGTCACGTGTATTATGTCACGTGTGATATAGATGCGAGAATGGGGCTGATCAGGGCTCGGTTAGCCGGGGCAGGTTAGTAATTAGCTTAATAGTGTCTATTTAAATAGCCGAAATAATATAGACCAGTGCTCTATATAACTAGTCGTTAACCAGATCACCAGGTTACCAGGTTACCAGGTCACCAGGTTCACCAGGTTAACCAGGTTACCAGATCACCAGGTTACCAGGTTACCAGGTCACCAGGTTCACCAGGTTAACCAGGTTACCAGGTTAATCAGGTCACCAGGTTAATCAGGTCACCAGGTTAACCAGGTTCACCAGGTTAACCAGGTTACCAGGTTAGTCAGGTCACCAGGTTAACCAGGTCTATAATTATAGAAAGAGCTTTTTTCAGAGCTTCATCTCTTTATATATACTTCTTCGATTGTAATATCCTATTATAATGTAAGTTAGGAGGCATTCACACCACATTATTTGTACTAATTGTACGGCACATAAAGCTATTGATGGTATGATAAAATAACTGACTGCAGGAATGTACCTTGTCAAAATTATTAGAGATATGTTACATATGTTACAGATTTAAATGAAATATTCCTCGTAGAAATAACACGCTCCAAATTCTCTAAATATCTAAAAGTTCTACAACGTACCGTCTTAACCATGTATTGGAAGCAGTGAAACTAAATAATGTGAAGAGCGTTGTGGTGGAGGGCGGGGTTGCAATGTGTCACATTTTAACCACCATATTATTATATAATAAACCAGCTCATCAACAAATTAATAGATTATGTCATTCTTTTATTAGCACTTTAAAGTGTGACCAGCACCTACTTGATACTCCACACTTTAGTAACATTGTGGTTTATATTATATCACGTGATATGTCACGTGTTATCTCCGGGTGTGACCTACTCTGGCACCCTGCTACTTTAGTAGTAGTGTGTCACTCTGCTGTTAGGGATGGTTACATTGTGGTTTAGAAAATAGAAATTGTAAAATTACTGAACTTAATGAACTTAAAGTGATCAGTGTCTTGATAGAGAGGCTTAGTGTAACATTACCTTTATACCCGGCCACGTGTATTATGTCACGTGTTATCTCGGCAGTTTACAAGAAGCCCGACTGGTCCATGGACCACTGGTCTATGGACCACTCTAGGTGGTCCATGGACCACTGGTCCATGGACCACCTTATCACTGAATAAGTGGTCCATGGACCACTTTAACAAGGTCCATGGTATCAGCAAGCACTTTAGCTTCCATTATCATATGATCCAATCATACGGTAGACTTCTTCGCTAAGATTGCAAGATGTCAGTATTAACTACGAAAAACGTCGCAGAGATATATAAGATGAATTGTGGTACACAGCCATCGTCGTTTTCGATATACAAGACAGATACTTGTACACCACTACTGTGTTTTCAATATGAGCCACTCACTACACAACGAAATCCATCGGATTACAAATACCACACGGAGGAACATGGAAGCAGCAATCCATCAACAATATCCTCTTGTTTTGGAGATGGAGAAGAGTGGGACGAGCGCAAGGCAGGCTATTCAGCAGATTCAGATGCCCAGATCAACGTTCTACAAGTGGCGTTTTGTTGCAGAAATGAAGCTTGTCGACTCCTCACACTATCATCACCTAGCTGATCAGTTCAAGGGAACCAAGCTGTGTGATCAATGTAAATACTGTTTATTTGAGGACTCTGCCTCTCTCAGAAAGACAGAGGAGATGAGGAAGAGCTCCGACCTTCTCCCTCTATCTATGTAAATTGTATGTTATTTACTTTTGTAATACTTATTATACATATTGCAATCATAAAGATGCCAATTTCAATTGATAATAAACAAGAAATGCGGCCGCTTTTCTTTTGTGGATGGCCGCTCAATTTCCCGATCCGTGATGGCGTATTTATCATATTCCATACAACCTGGGGACGGCCCAGTCTTTACTGTTTATATAAACATGCAAATATGGCGAAGTGACATGCCGACTGCCGAGCGCCGCCCAGTTAATATAATTCTATATTGAATTTGAAAATCGTGTATACTTCTAAGCTATGTAACCATATGTTTATTGTTTATGCAACCTGACACGGATCTGTGCAAAATAGTAATACTAACTCAAAATAATAATAATATGCTATCAATTAGTGCCTAGTGGGATACGTACATGATGAAATTAATAATGTACTTGGTTGGTTCAGCGCCGCGCGCCAACAATTATATAATTCAGATTATTACGCAAAATAACTTTGCGCAGGTAGTCACGTGGGCGATAACAGTGCTCGCAGGCTGAGGCACGTACGCACGCACGCACGCACGCACGCACGCTCGCAGGCACGGTCGCAAAGCTACCATATACCAAAAAAAACCTCGATCGCTAACCCTTGTCCTTGACTCTTTTGTGCCTTCGGCACGAGTCATGGATCGGGAAAAAATTAGATATAATCTTCATGAGTTGACTTATGGTGGTCCATGGACCACTGTACCTTGGTGAAGTGGTCCATGGACCACCTATAGTGGTCCATGGACCACTGGTCCATGGACCAGTCGAGCTTCTTGGAGACTGCCGTTATCTCCAGGGTGTAACATGTAAATTTGTTTTAAAGAAGGGGAAGCTTTGTGCTTGCTGGAGTATTAGAGTATACTGTATTATATGCTGTATATACTCTATATACTTGTATATACTGGAGTATACTGTATATACTGGAGTATACTGTATATACTTTATATACTGTATATACTGGAGTATACTGTATATACTGGAGTATACTGTATATACTGGAGTATACTGTATATACTGTATATACTGTATATACTGTATATACTGGAGTATACTGTATATACTGTATATACTGTATATACTGGAGTATACTGTATATACTGGAGTATACTAACTTATTTACTACACGTATTACCCACGTACCTACAACTCTTAATACCATGTCACAGTGTCCAGTGTATTATATGTCACAGTATTTGAAGAGTGAAAATGTAACTCAGCACGTTTAATACTGTAATTTCTAAAAGTTAACCTACACGTGCTATAATATTATATAGCCTATATTCAATAACACGTGATCAATAACACCTTGATAGTCTACACAGTCCACACATTCTAACACGTGATCAATAACACCTTAACAGTCTACACAGTCTACACATTGTAACACGTGATCAATAACACCTTAACAGTCTACACAGTCTACACATTGTAACACGTGATCAATAACACCTTAACAGTCTACACAGTCCACACATTGTAACACGTGATCAATAACACCTTAACAGTCTACACAGTCCACACATTGTAACACGTGATCAATAACACCTTGACAGTCTACACAGTCCACACATTGTAACACTAGTTTAGCAGGTGTCTTTAAAACAATAGGCTTCTGTTCCCTTAACTTTATTAGATCTTACCTCTTATAACTGAGTTATCTTTCGTTTTATAACTGCGTTTAATTTAATTTTGTTAAATTTCTTTAAGTTAATGCTCCGCGGAATGTGTTACTAAAACGCGGGTTTAATTCATTTGGGGGGGGGGGTGCCACCCCCTCTTACATTCTACAGAGAATGTACAGAGGAAGAGCTGAAAATCTTACGCGTGAAATAGTTTAATTTGGATCAGGTGTTAAACTTTATTAATTCTATAAATCATATTAACTTTGTAGTAGTTAAAACAACCCAGCAGTGAAAATGTTACATGTTTAGTGTTTACATGAGTGTATTCTTATATTGAGTAATGATTATTCAAGTTACGTAAATCTAATCGGAACTGCACTATTGAATAGTCTCTAGTCGGCGCGGTATTGCAAACGGGGAATCATTACAATGGTCGCTTTCTGATTCCAATAATTTGTAGCGAGTCCTACTGAGAGTATGTGCTGTCATCACGGCTTTGTCGCACTTTGTCGCATCGTGTCTATGATGTAGGTTTAATTGTTAAGTCTCCTGTAATAGCTAGGTTTCTGTTCATTGGCTTCTAGCGGATCTAGGCTATACAATAAAACTTGCTGAAACTTAGAGAATTGTAGACTTCTAGAAAACACTCAGAACGGAGTTATGTTTGAAGAATTTTAACACCACTGTTAAGTGTAAACCGTGTTCAATGTAATTGTTCTATGAAAAAGTTATGATGATAACCTAGTTGCTATTTATCAACAAATATTTATCACAACGAAAGTTACTCATATTTTCCTTTTTTTCTTCATATTTTCCTTTTTTTCTTGGACAGTTCTATTATTCTAATGACACGGCTGAGAAGTTTTAAGATCTTAGCAAATGTTTCCAATGTATAGTTCATCATCATCACATACGAGGGGAAGAATGTTTAACACACAATTTAATGTAATACAATATAAATTCCAGTCTGTTGATGAAGTATAAACTGAGCCGGAGAACCTGTTTGTTTGAAAATGTGCCCCTCCCTTCTCCCCCAAATACAAAACTTGCTGAAACTTACAAACTATAAAATGGAGCACTCCTCTAATTAGTAAGTACAGCTATGGTAAAGTATGGTATCAGCAATATTTATTTTTCTATCTTAGATTTTTGCCGAAAATTGATGAAAATTATGCTAATTTTGCCCATTCATTCCTCAACTTTTAGTCAGATGGGTATCGAAAGGGTCCCCCCCCCCCCCCCCCCCCCCCCCCCCCCCCCCCCCTTGAGGTGCACAAACAATTTACTCTAATCTGTATTATCTATATTTCACCCGAGTAATATTAGTTACACCTTTATTTCAGTGCACTTGCAAACTTTCTGCAAATTTACTCGGCATTTCATTTCCTTTGTGAATGCTCCTGCAAATATTTCCTACAATCGGTAGTAGAATTCCTGGTAGATTCCAATCGGTTTCGCTCTGTAATCTAGAAAATTAATGTTCCGCCCTTGCAAGGAACTCAGAAAGTTACAAATTTTTGCAAGTTTTCCGAACAAATTTGTACAGTGAGTAGGGCTGGAGGTCCAAAACTTGCATGGTTCGTGGGACTTACTATAACTGTTCATCAATTTCATGATATCGAGTTACCATTTCAAACCATTTTAAATTTACCTCGTGAATTACAATCAGCATAATATTCAATATTCTAACAGTAAACGTAACCAGATAATGACAGGAAGTGTAAACGTCTAGCTGCGGTTGATTTTGTACGAGCTTATTGTTAATGGGCTACATTTTCATACATTATCCCCTGACTAAGCTATCAAATCATATGTAGGAACATTCAAATAATGTAGCGGTTTCAAATCATATGTAGGAATATTCAAATAATGTAGCGGTTTCAAATCATATGTAGGAATATTCAAATAATGTAGCGGTTTCAAATCATATGTAGGAATATTCAAATAATGTAGCGGTTTCAAATCATGTGTAGGAACATTCAAATAATGTAGCGGTTTCAAATCATGTGTAGGAATATTCAAATAATGTAGCGGTTTCAAATCATGTGTAGGAATATTCAAATAATGTAGCGGTTTCAAATCATATGTAGGAATATTCAAATAATGTAGCGGTTTCAAATCATGTGTAGAAATATTCAAATAATGTAGCGGTTTCAAATCATATGTAGGAACATTCAAATAATGTAGCGGTTTCAAATCATGTGTAGGAACATTCAAATAATGTAGCGGTTTCAAATCATATGTAGGAACATTCAAATAATGTAGCGGTTTCAAATCATGTGTAGAAATATTCAAATAATGTAGCGGTTTCAAATCATATGTAGGAATATTCAAATAATGTAGCGGTTTCAAATCATGTGTAGAAATATTCAAATAATGTAGCGGTTTCAAATCATGTGTAGGAACATTCAAATAATGTAGCGGTTTCAAATCATATGTAGGAACATTCAAATAATGTAGCGGTTTCAAATCATGTGTAGAAATATTCAAATAATGTAGCGGTTTCAAATCATATGTAGGAACATTCAAATAATGTAGCGGTTTCAAATCATGTGTAGAAATATTCAAATAATGTAGCGGTTTCAAATCATATGTAGGAACATTCAAATAATGTAGCGGTTTCAAATCATGTGTAGAAATATTCAAATAATGTAGCGGTTTCAAATCATGTGTAGGAACATTCAAATAATGTAGCGGTTTCAAATCATGTGTAGAAATATTCAAATAATGTAGCGGTTTCAAATCATGTGTAGAAATATTCAAATAATGTAGCGGTTTCAAATCATGTGTAGGAACATTCAAATAATGTAGCGGTTTCAAATCATATGTAGGAATATTCAAATAATGTAGCGGTTTCAAATCATATGTAGGAACATTCAAATAATGTAGCGGTTTCAAATCATATGTAGGAACATTCAAATAATGTAGCGGTTTCAAATCATGTGTAGAAATATTCAAATAATGTAGCGGTTTCAAATCATGTGTAGAAATATTCAAATAATGTAGCGGTTTCAAATCATGTGTAGGAACATTCAAATAATGTAGCGGTTTCAAATCATATGTAGGAATATTCAAATAATGTAGCGGTTTCAAATCATATGTAGGAACATTCAAATAATGTAGCGGTTTCAAATCATGTGTAGAAATATTCAAATAATGTAGCGGTTTCAAATCATGTGTAGAAATATTCAAATAATGTAGCGGTTTCAAATCATATGTAGGAACATTCAAATAATGTAGCGGTTTCAAATCATGTGTAGAAATATTCAAATAATGTAGCGGTTTCAAATCATATGTAGGAACATTCAAATAATGTAGCGGTTTCAAATCATGTGTAGAAATATTCAAATAATGTAGCGGTTTCAAATCATGTGTAGGAACATTCAAATAATGTAGCGGTTTCAAATCATGTGTAGAAATATTCAAATAATGTAGCGGTTTCAAATCATGTGTAGAAATATTCAAATAATGTAGCGGTTTCAAATCATGTGTAGGAACATTCAAATAATGTAGCGGTTTCAAATCATATGTAGGAATATTCAAATAATGTAGCGGTTTCAAATCATATGTAGGAATATTCAAATAATGTAGCGGTTTCAAATCATATGTAGGAATATTCAAATAATGTAGCGGTTTCAAATCATGTGTAGGAATATTCAAATAATGTAGTGGTTTCCTAAGGTGTTCAGGAGAGACATATTTGTGGCACGGCTTGCCCCCATTAATTGTGACACAGCTTGCCCCCATTTGTGGCACGCTTGCCCATATCTACATCTGACCTAATTACTTGCTCATTTCTCGATAATTGATTTCAATCTTAGTTTGTAATAGTCATAATAATATTGAATTATACTGGTAATAGCTCGATAATAGGCTAATTACAAGACGGCGGCCACAAAATCCGAGAATACACCCTCTGGAAGAGACTACGTCAGGTCTACATAAAATCAGTGTCGGAACACGCATCTTCGGGTATTTACAAGTCTCGGCGCGCGAATCTAAATTTGTAAATATAATTTAATCTGCGCGCGTTTGTAAATCTAGCTAAAATTAAGGGAGTGATCAACATTGGTTCAAAATTTACATATTTTGTAAGTTTGCTACGGCTTCATTCGTGCATAATTGAACACGTACTAATTCATAGATTTATCTCTCCTTGACACTGGTATCGGCTTTCACCCTGTCTCCCATAGACTAGTATTTCACTGAAAGGTTTGTAAAGACACACCTCCACACGTCACTGCAATAGTTTGCGTGTACTGTTACATTAACAGACTTTGTAACCAACTCTACATACACCCGTACAATTCCCTAGTCTAGGTTCACTGTTCCTTTGTTTAATTGGTAAGTTGCTCACCAAATTATGCACATCTCTCATTGAAATGCGAAATATTCAAACTATTTTATCTCTCGCAGGTTTTAGTGTTTCTAGACTCGCACATTGAAGCAACAGAGGGCTGGTTAGAATCGCTGCTACAAAGAATCCACACAAACAGACTCATTGTTCCTGCTCCTGCTATTGATAATATCAACTATGAAACGTACGGACCTTTGTAAAAATTCTATTTATAGGTTTTATTAAGGCTTTGTTTGAAGGTCCAACCTTTGGAGGCTTCTTTTCCGGGATCCCTTGAATTTTACGCGCCTTTTTGAAGGATTCAAGTACCAATTGATTGAATTAAAACGGCTTACAATTTTCAACTTAAACCATCCAACTTTACATTCAGAATTATTCAAGTTATAAAACAGATTGACCAATCAGAGCACAGTATTCACACCACGTGACACAAACCAACCAATTAGAGCACAGTATACACACCACGTGACACTATAAAACAGATTGACTGACGCTAACTTAACAGTATTCACACCACGTGACACAAACCAACCAATTAGAGCACAGTATCCACACCACGTGACACAAACCAACCAATTAGAGCACAGTATACACACCACGTGACACTATAAAACAGATTGACTGACGCTAACTTAACAGTATTCAAACCACGTGACACAAACCAACCAATTAGAGCACAGTATCCACACCACGTGACACAAACCAACCAATTAAAGCACAGTATACACACCACGTGACACTATAAAACAGATTGACTGACGCTAACTTAACAGTATTCACACCACGTGACACAAACCAACCAATTAGAGCACAGTATCCACACCACGTGACACAAACCAACCAATTAGAGCACAGTATACACACCACGTGACACTAAAACAGATTGACTGACGATAACTTAACAGTATTCACACCACGTGACACAAACCAACCAATCAGAGCACAGTATTCACACCACGTGTCACTAAAACAGATTGACTGACGATAACTTAACAGTATTCACACCACGTGACACAAACCAACCAATTAGAGCACAGTATACACACCACGTGACACTAAAACAGATTGACTGACGATAACTTAACAGTATTCACACCACGTGACACAAACCAACCAATCAGAGCACAGTATTCACACCACGTGACACAAACCAACCAATTAGAGCACAGTATTCACACCACGTGACACAAACCAACCAATTAGAGCACAGTATACACACCACGTGACACAAACCAACCAATTAGAGCACAGTATACACACCACGTGACACTAAAACAGATTGACTGACGATAACTTAACAGTATTCACACCACGTGACACAAACCAACCAATCAGAGCACAGTATTCACACCACGTGACACAAACCAACCAATTAGAGCACAGTATTCACACCACGTGACACAAACCAACCAATTAGAGCACAGTATACACACCACGTGACACAAACCAACCAATTAGAGCACAGTATACACACCACGTGACACTAAAACAGATTGACTGACGATAACTTAACAGTATTCACACCACGTGACACAAACCAACCAATCAGAGCACAGTATTCACACCACGTGACACAAACCAACCAATTAGAGCACAGTATACACACCACGTGACACTATAAAACAGATTGACTGACGCTAACTTAACAGTATTCAAACCACGTGACACAAACTAACCAATTAGAGCACAGTATCCACACCACGTGACACAAACCAACCAATTAAAGCACAGTATACACACCACGTGACACTATAAAACAGATTGACTGACGCTAACTTAACAGTATTCACACCACGTGACACAAACCAACCAATTAGAGCACAGTATCCACACCACGTGACACAAACCAACCAATTAGAGCACAGTATACACACCACGTGACACTAAAACAGATTGACTGACGATAACTTAACAGTATTCACACCACGTGACACAAACCAACCAATCAGAGCACAGTATTCACACCACGTGACACTAAAACAGATTGACTGACGATAACTTAACAGTATTCACACCACGTGACACAAACCAACCAATTAGAGCACAGTATACACACCACGTGACACTAAAACAGATTGACTGACGATAACTTAACAGTATTCACACCACGTGACACAAACCAACCAATCAGAGCACAGTATTCACACCACGTGACACAAACCAGCCAATTAGAGCACAGTATTCACACCACGTGACACAAACCAACCAATTAGAGCACAGTATACACACCACGTGACACAAACCAACCAATTAGAGCACAGTATACACACCACGTGACACTAAAACAGATTGACTGACGATAACTTAACAGTATTCACACCACGTGACACAAACCAACCAATCAGAGCACAGTATTCACACCACGTGTCACTAAAACAGATTGACTGACGATAACTTAACAGTATTCACACCACGTGACACAAACCAACCAATTAGAGCACAGTATACACACCACGTGACACTAAAACAGATTGACTGACGATAACTTAACAGTATTCACACCACGTGACACAAACCAACCAATCAGAGCACAGTATTCACACCACGTGACACAAACCAACCAATTAGAGCACAGTATTCACACCACGTGACACAAACCAACCAATTAGAGCACAGTATACACACCACGTGACACAAACCAACCAATTAGAGCACAGTATACACACCACGTGACACTAAAACAGATTGACTGACGATAACTTAACAGTATTCACACCACGTGACACAAACCAACCAATCAGAGCACAGTATTCACACCACGTGACACAAACCAACCAATTAGAGCACAGTATTCACACCACGTGACACAAACCAACCAATTAGAGCACAGTATACACACCACGTGACACAAACCAACCAATTAGAGCACAGTATACACACCACGTGACACTAAAACAGATTGACTGACGATAACTTAACAGTATTCACACCACGTGACACAAACCAACCAATCAGAGCACAGTATTCACACCACGTGACACAAACCAACCAATTAGAGCACAGTATACACACCACGTGACACTATAAAACAGATTGACTGACGCTAACTTAACAGTATTCAAACCACGTGACACAAACCAACCAATTAGAGCACAGTATCCACACCACGTGACACAAACCAACCAATTAAAGCACAGTATACACACCACGTGACACTATAAAACAGATTGACTGACGCTAACTTAACAGTATTCACACCACGTGACACAAACCAACCAATTAGAGCACAGTATCCACACCACGTGACACAAACCAACCAATTAGAGCACAGTATACACACCACGTGACACTAAAACAGATTGACTGACGATAACTTAACAGTATTCACACCACGTGACACAAACCAACCAATCAGAGCACAGTATTCACACCACGTGACACTAAAACAGATTGACTGACGATAACTTAACAGTATTCACACCACGTGACACAAACCAACCAATTAGAGCACAGTATACACACCACGTGACACTAAAACAGATTGACTGACGATAACTTAACAGTATTCACACCACGTGACACAAACCAACCAATCAGAGCACAGTATTCACACCACGTGACACAAACCAGCCAATTAGAGCACAGTATTCACACCACGTGACACAAACCAACCAATTAGAGCACAGTATACACACCACGTGACACAAACCAACCAATTAGAGCACAGTATACACACCACGTGACACTAAAACAGATTGACTGACGATAACTTAACAGTATTCACACCACGTGACACAAACCAACCAATCAGAGCACAGTATTCACACCACGTGACACAAACCAACCAATTAGAGCACAGTATTCACACCACGTGACACAAACCAACCAATTAGAGCACAGTATACACACCACGTGACACAAACCAACCAATTAGAGCACAGTATACACACCACGTGACACTAAAACAGATTGACTGACGATAACTTAACAATATTCACACCACGTGACACAAACCAACCAATCAGAGCACAGTATTCACACCACGTGACACAAACCAACCAATTAGAGCACAGTATACACACCACGTGACACAAACCAACCAATTAGAGCACAGTATACACACCACGTGACACTAAAACAGATTGACTGACGCTAACTTAACCCAGGCTAGATTACACCAAGACAGATGGTAGCAAGGGTGGTATACACACCACGTGACACTAAAACAGATTGACTGACGCTAACTTAACCCAGGCTAGATTACACCAAGACAGATGGTATATTGACTGACGCTAGCTTAACCCAGGCTAGATTACACCAAGACAGATGGTAGTAAGGGTGGTATCCACACCACGTGACACTAAAACAGATTGACTGACGCTAACTTAACCCAGGCTAGATTACACCAAGACAGATGGTATATTGACTGACGCTAACTTAACCCAGGCTAGATTACACCAAGACAGATGGTAGCAAGGGTGGAGCACAGTATTCACACCACGTGACACTAAAACAGATTGACTGACGCTAACTTAACCCAGGCTAGATTACACCAAGACAGATGGTAGCAAGGGTGGTATACACACCACGTGACACTAAAACAGATTGACTGACGCTAACTTAACCCAGGCTAGATTACACCAAGACAGATGGTATATTGACTGACGCTAGCTTAACCCAGGCTAGATTACACCAAGACAGATGGTAGTAAGGGTGGTATCCACACCACGTGACACTAAAACAGATTGACTGACGCTAACTTAACCCAGGCTAGATTACACCAAGACAGATGGTATATTGACTGACGCTAACTTAACCCAGGCTAGATTACACCAAGACAGATGGTAGCAAGGGTGGTATACACACCACGTGACACTATAAAACAGATTGACTGACGCTAACTTAACCCAGGCTAGATTACACCAAGACAGATGGTATATTGACTGACGCTAACTTAACCCAGGCTAGATTACACCAAGACAGATGGTAGCAAGGGTGGTATACACACCACGTGACACTATAAAACATATTGACTGACGCTAACTTAACCCAGGCTAGATTACACCAAGACAGATGGTAGCAAGGGTGGTATACACACCACGTGACACTATAAAACATATTGACTGACGCTAACTTAACCCAGGCTAGATTACACCAAGACAGATGGTAGCAAGGGTGGAGCACAGTATACACACCACGTGACACTAAAACAGATTGACTGACGCTAACTTAACCCAGGCTAGATTACACCAAGACAGATGGTAGCAAGGGTGGTATCCACACCACGTGACACTAAAACATATTGACTGACGCTAGCTTAACCCAGGCTAGATTACACCAAGACAGATGGTAGCAAGGGTGGTATACACACCACGTGACACTATAAAACAGATTGACTGACGCTAACTTAACCCAGGCTAGATTACACCAAGACAGATGGTAGCAAGGGTGGTATTCACACCACGTGACACTATAAAACAGATTGACTGACGCTAACTTAACCCAGGCTAGATTACACCAAGACAGATGGTAGCAAGGGTGGTATTCACACCACGTGACACTATAAAACAGATTGACTGACGCTAACTTAACCCAGGCTAGATTACACCAAGACAGATGGTAGTAAGGGTGGTATACACACCACGTGACACTATAAAACAGATTGACTGACGCTAACTTAACCCAGGCTAGATTACACCAAGACAGATGGTAGCAAGGGTGGTATACACACCACGTGACACTATAAAACAGATTGACTGACGCTAACTTAACCCAGGCTAGATTACACCAAGACAGATGGTATATTGACTGACGCTAGCTTAACCCAGGCTAGATTACACCAAGACAGATGGTAGCAAGGGTGGTATACACACCACGTGACACTATAAAACAGATTGACTGACGCTAACTTAACCCAGGCTAGATTACACCAAGACAGATGGTAGCAAGGGTGGTATACACACCACGTGACACTAAAACATATTGACTGACGCTAACTTAACCCAGGCTAGATTACACCAAGACAGATGGTAGCAAGGGTGGTATACACACCACGTGACACTATAAAACAGATTGACTGACGCTAACTTAACCCAGGCTAGATTACACCAAGACAGATGGTAGTAAGGGTGGTATACACACCACGTGACACTAAAACAGATTGACTGACGCTAACTTAACCCAGGCTAGATTACACCAAGACAGATGGTAGTAAGGGTGGTATTCACACCACGTGACACTAAAACAGATTGACTGACGCTAACTTAACCCAGGCTAGATTACACCAAGACAGATGGTAGCAAGGGTGGTTTACACACCACGTGACACTAAAACATATTGACTGACGCTAACTTAACCCAGGCTAGATTACACCAAGACAGATGGTAGCAAGGGTGGTTTCAACAGTATCCACACCACGTGACACTAAAACAGATTGACTGACGCTAACTTAACCCAGGCTAGATTACACCAAGACAGATGGTAGCAAGGGTGGTTTTAATTGGGCTCTGGTCTTTAAATGGGTACCAATGAACGAGACAGAGCGCTCCAAGTACTACAACTGGGATCCTTTCGAGTGAGTTAAACTTACTTTTGGGTTGTTTTTGTAACGCTTTACTTCTTGAGATCGTTTACTTAACAATATAACAATTTCCCAGGAGGTTTATTTTCCGTTTCCTCAGATCTCCCACCATGGCAGGAGGTTAATTTTCCGTTTCCTCAGATCGCCCACCATGGCAGGAGGTTTATTTTCCGTTTCCTCAGATCGCCCACCATGGCAGGAGGTTAATTTTCCGTTTCCTCAGATCTCCCACCATGGCAGGAGATTAATTTTCCGTTTCCTCAGATCGCCCACCATGGCAGGAGGTTAATTGTCCGTTTCCTCAGATCTCCCACCATGGCAGGAGGTTAATTTTCCGTTTCCTCAGATCGCCCACCATGGCAGGAGGTTAATTTTCCTTTTCCTCAGATCGCCCACCATGGCAGGAGGTTAATTGTCCGTTTCCTCAGATCGCCCACAATGGCAGGAGATTAATTTTCTGTTTCCTCAGATCGCCCACCATGGCAGGAGGTTAATTTTCCGTTTCCTCAGATCGCCCACCATGGCAGGAGGTTTATTTTCCGTTTCCTCAGATCGCCCACCATGGCAGGAGGTTAATTTTCCGTTTCCTCAGATCTCCCACCATGGCAGGAGATTAATTTTCCGTTTCCTCAGATCGCCCACCATGGCAGGAGGTTAATTGTCCGTTTCCTCAGATCTCCCACCATGGCAGGAGGTTAATTTTCCGTTACCTCAGATCGCCCACCATGGCAGGAGGTTAATTTTCCGTTTCCTCAGATCGCCCACCATGGCAGGAGGTTAATTGTCCGTTTCCTCAGATCGCCCACAATGGCAGGAGATTAATTTTCTGTTTCCTCAGATCGCCCACAATGGCAGGAGGTTAATTGTCCGTTTCCTCAGATCGCCCACCATGGCAGGAGATTAATTTTCCGTTTCCTCAGATCGCCCACAATGGCAGGAGATTAATTTTCTGTTTCCTCAGATCGCCCACCATGGCAGGAGGTTAATTTTCCGTTTCCTCAGATCGCCCACCATGGCAGGAGGTTAATTGTCCGTTTCCTCAGATCTCCCACCATGGCAGGAGGTTAATTTTCCGTTTCCTCAGATCTCCCACCATGGCAGGAGGTTAATTTTCCGTTTCCTCAGATCTCCCACCATGGCAGGAGGTTAATTTTCCGTTTCCTCAGATCTCCCACCATGGCAGGAGGTTAATTTTCCGTTTCCTCAGATCTCCCACCATGGCAGGAGGTTAATTGTCCGTTTCCTCAGATCTCCCACCATGGCAGGAGGTTAATTTTCCGTTTCCTCAGATCTCCCACCATGGCAGGAGGTTAATTGTCCGTTTCCTCAGATCTCCCACCATGGCAGGAGGTTAATTTTCCGTTTCCTCAGATCTCCCACCATGGCAGGAGGTTAATTTTCCGTTTCCTCAGATCTCCCACCATGGCAGGAGGTTAATTTTCCGTTTCCTCAGATCTCCCACCATGGCAGGAGGTTAATTTTCCGTTTCCTCAGATCTCCCACCATGGCAGGATGTTAATTGTCCGTTTCCTCAGATCTCCCACCATGGCAGGAGGTTAATTTTCTGTTTCCTCAGATCGCCCACCATGGCAGGAGGTTAATTTTCCGTTTCCTCAGATCGCCCACCATGGCAGGAGGTTAATTGTCCGTTTCCTCAGATCTCCCACCATGGCAGGAGGTTAATTGTCCGTTTCCTCAGATCTCCCACCATGGCAGGAGGTTAATTTTCCGTTTCCTCAGATCTCCCACCATGGCAGGAGGTTAATTTTCCGTTTCCTCAGATCTCCCACCATGGCAGGAGGTTAATTTTCCGTTTCCTCAGATCTCCCACCATGGCAGGAGGTTAATTTTCCGTTTCCTCAGATCTCCCACCATGGCAGGAGGTTAATTGTCCGTTTCCTCAGATCTCCCACCATGGCAGGAGGTTAATTTTCCGTTTCCTCAGATCGCCCACCATGGCAGGAGGTTAATTGTCCGTTTCCTCAGATCTCCCACCATGGCAGGAGGTTAATTGTCCGTTTCCTCAGATCTCCCACCATGGCAGGAGGTTAATTGTCCGTTTCCTCAGATCTCCCACCATGGCAGGAGGTTAATTTTCCGTTTCCTCAGATCTCCCACCATGGCAGGAGATTAATTTTCCGTTTCCTCAGATCGCCCACCATGGCAGGAGGTTAATTGTCCGTTTCCTCAGATCTCCCACCATGGCAGGAGGTTAATTTTCCGTTTCCTCAGATCGCCCACCATGGCAGGAGGACTATTCGCAATTCACCGTGACACATTCTACGAATACGGAACATACGATGATGAAATGAGTATTTGGGGCGGGGAAAACCTCGAGATGAGCTTCCGGGTAACTACATATAATAAAATACTAGTGCAATTCTGTAATTATGTAATTATGTAATTATGTAATTATGTAATTATGTAATTATATCCTCGTCAGTAAACAGCGTTAAACAGTACTATAAAGTATACAGTCCAAGTAACGATGTAGTGCCAGTGTAACTAGTGTGTTACAGTTGTTGCTGTGCTTATTATTATACTAGTGTAACCCGTGCCTACGGCCGGGACTTCACTAACGCAGTTAAAATGCAAAAGTATAAACCCGCCTATTATATTCGAAAACACGCATTACATTTTCGTAGTTAAAATGGTGCGAAAGTATGAACTCGCTCAGTCCAAACAGACCGCAATTTAATTCTGAATGCCCCTCACGTATCTGATAGTAATACTTGAAAGTCAATCTTGAGGTCCCCTGCCAAATTACCTAATTATATAGCAATCTATTATGAGGGGAGAGCGAGAGAGCTGGGAGAGTACACACACACACACACACACACTAGTATCACATTTGGGTCACAAAATGATCAATTAAACCACTTACCGCCGACCGATTTAAAAAACCTTTATCATTTGGCTTCGTCAGAGTTTTCTCGGCACTACCGAAAAAACCAGCCCCGTAACTCTTGACAATATTCTTGATTAAGCCGTTAGGAAATTACACGCGAACGAACGAACATGCATCTTGAGATTATTAGTATAGATTTAACTTGTAGTACATTTTGTATTACTATACAACTTACTATTTAACTTCATGTTGTTGAGCACCACATTGAATAACATGAATGTTGTCAATAGTTATAAATTAGTGTACTTTCCGTCTGGAGCATCGGCTTCATGGCTTAGTTGGTTAAAGCGCCTGTCTAGTAAACAGGAGATCCCGAGTTCGAATCTCGGTGAAGCCTTTTGTTACTTTTTTTTCTATAATAATGTTTCATAAATTTTACTTTACACCATATTCCACAATCATGACTGCAGGTAATCGGCTTAGTAATTATTAGTCTCTAATTTCACACAAGTTCTTGGTATCAAGTTACACACATTACATAGCGCACATTAGATAGCGCACATTACATAGCGCACATCAGATAGCGCACATTACATAGCGCACATTAGATGACCCATTGGACTGCAGCGAGTATGTGTGATACAATAACTTTTCAATCTAGAACGATACGTTTACAATTCACATGACACGATGTTAAACATACGCTTTTACATAATTATACATTATTCTCGTAATTACTTCCTAGATTACGTCACTATGAGTTACTCAATGCTGGTTGTTTTATTCTAATTGATACACGTTATTTCCAACATCAGCAGTGTATATCAAATCAATTAACAAACAAGTCACATTATTATTGATTAACTACTCAACTAACTACATAATTGGTAGATAATTACCCAGATAATTAAATAATTAATTAATTAACAACAATTAATTATCAGCTGTGGATGTGTGGAGCTAAGTTGGAGATAGTGCCCTGTTCCCGTGTTGGACACATATTCCGGCTAAAGAACCCTGTATCATTTCCAGGGGGAACTAGTAACACTGTCAACCGGAACAACAAACGTTTAGCCGAGGTTTGTTGTACTGTGTTCTGATTGGTTAGTTTGTGTCACGTGGTGTGAATACTGTGCTCTGATTGGTTAGTTTGTTGTCTTGTTGATTTTAAGGAGATTGAACCTCATTTTCTTTAGAACTTTGTAACTTTCCTTGAATATTAAGACAAATGTTTACCCCGGCACAGAAGAACTAATTACTTGATTAATCCCACTAATTAATTATACTAATTACCCACTAATCAATTACCAGGTCTGGATGGACGAGTTTAAGGAGATATTCTACTGGTACAGCCCGGGAATGGACACACGCGACGCGGGGGACGTTTCAGGTTATTAGTTACTTACTGTTAACTGTTAGTCTTGCTTATTTAAGTATTTATAATTAATTAAATAATTTAAATACTTTAAATATTTCAGCTTGTTCATTAACTAGTTGAACTATTTAAAACCCTGGCCCCAAAACCCCCCTGGCCCCCCCCCCCCCCCATCACTCCTCATGCTCCCACCCAGGACGATTGAATCTGAGAGGAAGACTTCAATGTAAGAGTTTTAAGTGGTTCCTTGACACAGTGTATCCTGACTTATTTGTTCCTTCCCTCCATTACTACGCCAGAGGAGCTGTTAGTGTTTTATTTGTTGTTTTAATTATTATTTAGTAGTTCAAGTTTTAAATATAAGTAATACGCACATTTTTGGGTTTGTTTGCGCTAATTTTAAGAAGTCTATTTGTTCTTCTTCACGATAAATGATCAAGCAGGGATATTTGTCTTTCCTAAGGAAAGTATTATTCTGACTAGACCATCAACAAGTAATTTACTAATATTAGTAATACTAGTAATATTACTAATATTACTAATATTACTAATATTACTAATACTACTAATATTACTAATATTACTAATACTACTAATAATACTAATATTACTAATATTACTAATATTACTAATATTACTAATATTACTAATATTACTAATACTACTAATAATACTAATATTACTAATATTACTAATATTACTAATATTACTAATATTACTAATATTACTAATATTACTAATATTACTAATATTACTAATATTACTAATATTACTAATATTACTAATATTACTAATATATTACTAATATTACTAATATTACTAATATTACTAATATTACTAGTAATAACATTACAACAGGTGTCTAACCCAGCCTCTAACTTGTGTTTGGACACTTTTGGAGCAGCAGACCATTACCACACTGTAAAGGCGGGACTTTATTACTGCCACAATCAGGGTGGCAATCAAGTAAGTTAATTAGTTGATATTGTTAATGTTATTAAATATTTAATGAGGATACAGCGTTTTCAAAGATAGGTACAGATACGTGCAGGTATGGTGTATTGAATGGTAAGTTGATTAATTACATAATTAACTAATTACCTAATTACATAATTAACTTATTACATAATTACATAATTAACTAATTACATAATTAACTAATTACATAATTAACTAATTACATAATTAACTAATTACATAATTAACTAATTACATAATTAACTAATTACAGGTGTGGTTATTCACGCCAGATTGCAGGATTCTACAAGGAGACTTCTGTCTAGAGTTAACAGGTTCTCGTAAAGGAGAACCTGTACTGGGGCTCTGCAAGAAGAAGACCCTGTACCAGTCTTGGAAATATGATGATACTGTTAGTTTAGTTCGTTAGTTAGTTTTAGTTACCTAATTAGTTATAGTTAAGTAATTTATTAATGGAAATATGATGATACTGTTAGTTTAGTTCGTTAGTTAGTTGTAATTACCTAATTAGTTATAGTTAAGTAATTTATTAATGGAAATATGATGATACTGTTAGTTTAGTTCGTTAGTTAGTTGTAATTACCTAATTAGTTATAGTTAAGTAATTGATTAATGGAAATATGATGATACTGTTAGTTTTAGTTCGTTAGTTAGTTGTAGTAACCTAATTAGTTATAGTTAAGTAATTTATTAATGGAAATATGATGATACTGTTAGTTTTAGTTCGTTAGTTAGTTGCAGTTACCTAATTAGTTATAGTTAAGTAATTGATTAATGTTTAGGATATGTTCTACTTTCTGATTCAGTTGTTGAAGCTTAAATACAGTTCATCGGTTCAACACCATTACAACTTTAATTAAGTTTAATAACGTTAAATAATAACTTATTAAGTTAAACTAAATCTCCCCCAGACAAAGCAGATACGACACGTAAACTCCGGCCTATGTCTGGACCGGGGCGTGAGGAAATCCGACGAGTTCGTGCTAACAAGCAAATGTAATGGTTCACCCGGACAGATTTGGGAGGTTTCCATTCTTAAGAGGTACGTTAGTAAGCAAATGTAATGGTTCACCCGGACAGATTTGGGAGGTATCCATTCTTAAGAGGTACGTTAGTGACCAAATGTAATGGTTCACCCGGACAGATTTGGGAGGTATCCATTCTTAAGAGGTACGTTAGTAATCAAATGTAATGGTTCACCCGGACAGATTTGGGAGGTATCCATTCTTAAGAGGTACGTTAGTAAGCAAATGTAATGGTTCACCCGGACAGATTTGGGAGGTCTCCATTCTTAAGAGGCCAGGTACGTTAGTGACCAAATGTAATGGTTCACCCGGACAGATTTGGGAGGTTTCCATTCTTAAGAGGTACGTTAGTGACCAAATGTAATGTTTCACCCGGACAGATTTGGGAGGTTTCCATTCTTAAGAGGTACGTTAGTAAGCAAATGTAATGGTTCACCCGGACAGATTTGGGAGGTTTCCATTCTTAAGAGGTACGTTAGTAAGCAAATGTAATGGTTCACCCGGACAGATTTGGGAGGTTTCCATTCTTAAGAGGTACGTTAGTAAGCAAATGTAATGGTTCACCCGGACAGATTTGGGAGGTTTCCATTCTTAAGAGGTACGTTAGTAAGCAAATGTAATGGTTCACCCGGACAGATTTGGGAGGTTTCCATTCTTAAGAGGTACGTTAGTAAGCAAATGTAATGGTTCACCCGGACAGATTTGGGAGGTTTCCATTCTTAAGAGGTACGTTAGTGACCAAATGTAATGGTTCACCCGGACAGATTTGGGAGGTTTCCATTCTTAAGAGGTACGTTAGTAAGCAAATGTAATGGTTCACCCGGACAGATTTGGGAGGTTTCCATTCTTAAGAGGTACGTTAGTAAGCAAATGTAATGGTTCACCCGGACAGATTTGGGAGGTTTCCATTCTTAAGAGGTACGTTAGTAAGCAAATGTAATGGTTCACCCGGACAGATTTGGGAGGTTTCCATTCTTAAGAGGTACGTTAGTAAGCAAATGTAATGGTTCACCCGGACAGATTTGGGAGGTATCCATTCTTAAGAGGTACGTTAGTAAGCAAATGTAATGGTTCACCCGGACAGATTTGGGAGGTTTCCATTCTTAAGAGGTACGTTAGTAAGCAAATGTAATGGTTCACCCGGACAGATTTGGGAGGTTTCCATTCTTAAGAGGTACGTTAGTGACCAAATGTAATGGTTCACCCGGACAGATTTGGGAGGTATCCATTCTTAAGAGGTACGTTAGTAAGCAAATGTAATGGTTCACCCGGACAGATTTGGGAGGTTTCCATTCTTAAGAGGTACGTTAGTAAGCAAATGTAATGGTTCACCCGGACAGATTTGGGAGGTTTCCATTCTTAAGAGGTACGTTAGTAAGCAAATGTAATGGTTCACCCGGACAGATTTGGGAGGTTTCCATTCTTAAGAGGTACGTTAGTGACCAAATGTAATGGTTCACCCGGACAGATTTGGGAGGTTTCCATTCTTAAGAGGTACGTTAGTGACCAAATGTAATGGTTCACCCGGACAGATTTGGGAGGTTTCCATTCTTAAGAGGTACGTTAGTGACCAAATGTAATGGTTCACCCGGACAGATTTGGGAGGTTTCCATTCTTAAGAGGTACGTTAGTGACCAAATGTAATGGTTCACCCGGACAGATTTGGGAGGTATCCGTTCTTAAGAGGTACGTTATTAAGCAAATGTAATGGTTCACCCGGACAGATTTGGGAGGTTTCCATTCTTAAGAGGTACGTTAGTGACCAAATGTAATGGTTCACCCGGACAGATTTGGGAGGTTTCCATTCTTAAGAGGTATGTTAGTAAGCAAATGTAATGGTTCACCCGGACAGATTTGGGAGGTTTCCATTCTTAAGAGGTACGTTAGTAAGCAAATGTAATGGTTCACCCGGACAGATTTGGGAGGTTTCCATTCTTAAGAGGTACGTTAGTAAGCAAATGTAATGGTTCACCCGGACAGATTTGGGAGGTATCCATTCTTAAGAGGTACGTTAGTAAGCAAATGTAATGGTTCACCCGGACAGATTTGGGAGGTTTCCATTCTTAAGAGGTACGTTAGTAAGCAAATGTAATGGTTCACCCGGACAGATTTGGGAGGTTTCCATTCTTAAGAGGTACGTTAGTAAGCAAATGTAATGGTTCACCCGGACAGATTTGGGAGGTATCCATTCTTAAGAGGTACGTTAGTAAGCAAATGTAATGGTTCACCCGGACAGATTTGGGAGGTATCCATTCTTAAGAGGTACGTTAGTAAGCAAATGTAATGGTTCACCCGGACAGATTTGGGAAGTATCCATTCTTAAGAGGTACGTTAGTGACCAAATGTAATGGTTCACCCGGACAGATTTGGGAGGTATCCATTCTTAAGAGGTACGTTAGTGACCAAATGTAATGGTTCACCCGGACAGATTTGGGAGGTATCCATTCTTAAGAGGTACGTTAGTAAGCAAATGTAATGGTTCACCCGGACAGATTTGGGAGGTATCCATTCTTAAGAGGTACGTTAGTGAGCAAATGTAATGGTTCACCCGGACAGATTTGGGAGGTTTCCATTCTTAAGAGGTACGTTAGTAAGCAAATGTAATGGTTCACCCGGACAGATTTGGGAGGTTTCCATTCTTAAGAGGTACGTTAGTGAGCAAATGTAATGGTTCACCCGGACAGATTTGGGAGGTTTCCATTCTTAAGAGGTACGTTAGTGACCAAATGTAATGGTTCACCCGGACAGATTTGGGAGGTTTCCATTCTTAAGAGGTACGTTAGTGACCAAATGTAATGGTTCACCCGGACAGATTTGGGAGGTTTCCATTCTTAAGAGGTACGTTAGTGACCAAATGTAATGGTTCACCCGGACAGATTTGGGAGGTTTCCATTCTTAAGAGGTACGTTAGTAAGCAAATGTAATGGTTCACCCCAATCTGCGAGTTAATGTTATTTTTAAAACTTACGTCACTTTTTAACTTATAGTACACAGAGTTTTGTGTCTTTACCACCAACTACCTAATCAATACTAATTTCCACCACATTACAGTGATGTGAAGCAAGTGTGCTGACAAACTGTGTACATACCTTGATATCAGAAAAATGCGTAACCATGACAACAGTGAATCACTCCTGTCACCATATCAACATTCCTGTTACCATAGCAACACTCCTGTTACCATATCAACAACGATACACATCTTGTGTTGCTGCAATTTGTTTACGGATCTCAATTTAATAAAATATTTGATTCTTTTGATTGGGTTTAGGATCTACATCAAGATTTGTTAATAATTATTTAGTTATTAGTAAATTATCAATTTTTAAAACGCTATTACTAGAGACTAGAAAGGTTGCTTTATTAATTGAATTAAGTTATTTCGTCACGTTTCTTTAAGATACTCTGCACTAGTAATCTAGTAATCTTAAATAATGTCACAATTTAGTTCACATTGCACAGTACGGTTAAAATTAATATTTTAAAATCGATAAATTAATTTGTAAATGTAAATAAACACTGCATATATCGTAGCAAATCCATTTTTCATCTGTAAAATATCAAGGTGCCAGTTAAATTACTCAATAAGCTTGAGTTTTAAAAAGTGGTAAATTATGAAAAATTTAAGGGTCATCAATGAACATTTAGTCACATATTTATATCTTTATATGGATATTGTGTGCCTAAATTAGAAGGTACTAGGAATTTATATGACTTCTACTGTACTGGTGTTACATTTTTTATTGTATTTATTTGGTGTGCAGTTGTTTTTCATGTTTATCATGTTTGCAGTTTTTTAATCTAGCTGATTTTAACGATTCAACTTAAAATTATCTTTAGGTCGAGTCCCTGGCTGAATTAGTAACGGGCCAGTTTCATGCTAGCGACAGCACAATGGTATTAAACACTTGATTTTGGACCAATTTTTGGGTGATATTTTGATTGATTTGTTTTAAACTTTAAGGTTTAGGTATTTAAAAACGTTTTGGTAATTAATTAACTCCGGTAATTAGTTAATTATTTAATTATTCAAGTTTAACCAAGACTGGCCAATGTTGCACTGTATTGTTGGTTCAAAGTAATACAGCTGTTAAATGCATCCTGGGGGATTTATAATTTGACTGAAATACTGACGCTATTGTTATTTTAAACATTAGCTATTTGTAAACTTACACGTTATACGGAATTTTCATGTCACCTGTTTTTCCTCGCGTTATACAAGGTTTTCATGATGTTATACAAGGTTTTCATGATGTGCTGTAACTTCAATTGAGCATTACTGACTACAAACAATGTTGAATGTTAAACTTACAGCTTAAACTTACTGATTGAAGCAGTTTTTTAAGTTACTATTTGTTCTCAAATCATAGTAAAGTAGTACCTTCTTGCCATTTGGATGGCGAAAATGGTCATGATCCCATCTCCTCCTCCTCCCCTCCCCCCACCTAAGCCTTGGACGTAACCTATCTAATTCTCCTGAAATTTTATCACAAAAGAAGTAGTCACTGAAAAGTTCAATTTCAGAATATAACACCCCATGTAATCGTCTGTTTTGTGTTTCATTTTATACGGTTTGCTATCAAATTTCTGTGATTTTCAGTAGATAATTTATTTACAGAGTCTATCGGGGGGGGGCCAATGGCATAAATGGAGAAAATGGAGAATTACTCATAGGTTTTTCCATTTTCTCCATAGAAATAGTCTCCATTTTATGCCATTTTATGCCATTTTATGCCATTGAAAACCTGAAAAATTTAGAATTTCGAGAAAGATTATTTAAAAAAAGATATTTTCGGCCAATAATGAACAGAGTATCATGAAACATGGAGAAAAGTGGTTTCAGAAAAAACTTTGAAAAATGTTGACTTAGAAAATGTTCGGTCCGAGTCATTTTCGATACGTACCTCCCGTATCGAGAGCTCCCGATTCCGAGCTCGTGTTGCAAAGGGGAGGCCTGCCTTCCGAGATCGCATTACTTCGAGTCCAAAATTGTGTATCGAGGGCCAGGGGAAGGTGTGGACTTCGAAAAACCGAAAAAATATTTTCGGCAAATAATGAACAGAGTAGCATGAACAATGAAACGTGGAGAAAAGCGGTTTTCGGAAAAAATTTGAAAAATTTTGACCGAAAAAATATTTTCGGCTTATAATGAACAAGGTAGCATGAAACGTGGAGAAAAGTGTTTTTCAGAAAAACTTTGAAAAATTTTGACTTAGAAAATTACCCCTCGGTACACAATTTTGGACTCGAGGCTTCCCCCTGGTAATGCGATCTCGGAAGGAAGGCCTCCCCTTTGCAACACGAGCTCGGAATCGGGAGCTCTCGATACGAGAGGTACGTATCGAGAATGAATTCGGGCCGAAAATTTTCTAAGTCAAAATTTTTCAAAGTTTTTCTAAAAACCACTTTTCTCCACGTTTCATGCTACCCTCTTCATTATTAGCCGAAAATATCTTTTTGGTTTTTCGGTTTATCGAAGTCTGCACCTACCCCTCGATACACAAATTTGGACTCGAGGCTTCCCCCTGGTAATGCGATCTCGGAAGGCAGGCCTCCCCTTTGCAGTGCGAGCTTGTTTTGACTGTCGAGGATGTAGGTCTCACTTCTCAGTGCCTATTATTCTCCCCTATTACTCACTCCTGCTGTAGCCTGTAGAAATAACTTTACACTAGGCTTGAGTAATTATGAGTTTGCCTTAAGTGTGCCTCTACTAACCTAGTATAACCATCTAGTAGCCTACTATGAGCTTTCATAAGCTTGTTACGCCCCTCGTAAGCGTAAATAAACATGTTAGGATGTCCAATTTAGGTGTTAAATGGTGTTAAAGATGAAATTTCGAAGACAAAATTCATGGCATAAAATGGAGAAAATGGAGAATTACTCATGGGTTTTTCCATTTTCTCCATAGAAAAAGTCTCCATTTTATGCCATTTTATGCCATTTTATGCCATTGGCCCCCCCCAGTCTATCAAAAAGTGGTTTTATTTCTCCTTTTACATATATTTGATTAACCCGCACCTGCATCGATTTTATATCACGTCGTTACCCCATTTTCATTTTACTAAGTCGAAACCAGTGTATGGGCTAATATAAAACTAGTCGCACTCTCGTGCGCGGCGGGCCTATAACATACAATTACAATTACAACGTGTGGCATTGGCAACAAATACATTGATTTTATTTAGAGTACGAAATGTGGCGGTTTTTAGGTTAAAAACCAATATTTTCGTTCCTAAAGTTTCCAAATGACTAGCTAGCTTTGGAATTTTGACACAATGTCAATAGCTTTGTGTAAAGTCGAAACCCTAGTGTCTGGGCTAAAGCCTAGTGATAGTCGCAGTCAGCAGTCAGTGAGCAGCAGTTAGTAGCAGTGAGCAGCAGTGAGCAGCAGTTTCTTTGCACTTAGCCCCGCCTGTGGTGATAGTCGCACTGATCGCGTGCGCGGCGGGCCTATAACATACAATTACGATTACAACGTGCGTCATTTGCAACAGATACCATGATTTAATTTGGAGTACGAAATGTGGCGGTTTTTAGGGGGAAAACCCATATTTTCGTTCCTAAATCATATTATATCACTGAAATTTATATGTCGAACATAAAAATATCTTGTATAAGTATTACTATTAGTAAGGTATTTATTTTAATAATTACGTTTTATTTATGGGTCGTTTACATAATATTATTATTACTATTAGTATTACGCAATCAGCCAAGAGGTGAGAAAAGTTTCCAAATGACTAGCTAGCTTTGGAATTTTGATAAAATGTCAATAGCTTTGTGTAAAACGGGCACGGCCAAGGAGGAGGGGGTTACAAATTGTCCAAAAAGTGATTACGTGTTAAAACTAAAGAAACGTTATATTAGATTTAGACACAGGTTTTAAAAAATAAAAATAGAACAGTACAAAACATTATTGCAATTAATTTAAAACTAAGTTTCAAAACTCCTTCAATATGCTACACAAAATATGAAAACAGAATTATGTCTCACAAAAATCAGCACGAACAGCACGTGATGCTATTAGTATTTATATCTTAAATAAAGCATATTTAAATACTTTTTTCATTCGCCCAAAACGTTTTAGCTGCTAAAGTAATTAACTAACTCTTTGGGCTTTGAGAAAGTTATCAAATGTTTGAATCAAATATTTTCCACCAAGATAAAATTACAAATTATTTCAAGTTGCTATATTGGTGCAATATAGCAGTATTTATTAATAAAATTTTCCGCAGTCCATTTATCCTCGCCATTAGAAGCTCCATAGTTTTTATTTCTGATCTGCGGTTGATTTGATGAATTTATGATCTCACTTGATCAATTAACGTTCGTAATCGTGGCTTTGCATTCCCCCTCCACGTTGTTTAGATAAAGGAAAATCGATCTGAAAATGTGGAATAGTGAAGATTTTTACGAGAAAAATTTGCAACTTGTAAATTATAACTTTAATTTTATAACAATGTAATTTTAATTACACTTTGACTTGGACTATAGAACGACAAATAAAGACCATGTACCTTTATAATAGATGTTGGATTTATGAGAAACGTTGGTTTACCACGTAGGTCGTAGATCTATCTAAAAATAAAGAAAAGTAGTTGAAATAGTTTGCAAATACATCCTATTTTGTTATTCTTTCCAATTTTAGCACATAATGTGTTTGATTCGTTTAGCCCATTCTATTCGCGTTATTTTGATTGGATTAAAAACGCTTGAATTTTTGATTTGTATTTAAACCACTTTACGGCCACGTTGATAATCATAAATAGTTTGTCTCCCTTCAAATACGAAATTTTAAAAAATGTTTTTAAAAACTCACATATAATAACCGAATAGTACACCCCAGTTTTGATCTGAAATGTACAAAAACCGTGTGAGCGTTATTTTTATTGGATCAAATAGCTATAATTGATGATTATTTTTAAATCATGCAGCAAAAATGCTGATCGACAACCACCTTGTTTCCAATTAATAATATAAATTCAAGATGTAAATTGTTTGAAAACTGTTACCAACAAACCTGAATATTAGTGTAGAGTTAGAAGGTTAAAGGACAAAGGTAGTACTAGTATGAGCGAGCAGCCTTCAGTTGAAAAGATTAAAGATCTTTCCAAGTTTAGTTCTGAAATTTATGAAAAACCATGTGAGCGTTATTTCTTTACCCTTTTCATATTTGAAAGTCGGGTGCCGCGCATTTTGGATTGGATTAAAAACACTTGAATTTTTGATTTGTATTTAAACCACTCTACACCCACGTAACATTGATAATCACTAGCAGGAACCCGTCTTACTCTAAAGTGGTGTCAAGTCTGCAAGGGACTAAAAATAAGTATTACCTATTTAATTCGCGTTTTTGACATCACTTGGGGCCTCCCTGTTCTTACAGCAATTTAGCTAACTCTACACTCTTAAGTCTCTTATTACTTGCAGCATCATTGTTCTTAGTGTTCACCTCCACACCGTGTTCTAACAGCAATTTAGCTACCTCTACACTGTTATCACGTACAGGTACATGTAACGGTGTGACCCCATTACTGTTCTTAGGAATTAAACAGGAATTAAACAGGAATTAAACAAAATTGGGTCAAACGGCAGATGCCGTGTCTGACCAATATAGGAATAGAAGGTTTAATATTCAATACTACTCTAATGTTAAGAATAAACAAACAAGGTGGTAAAAGTAGATAGCCATGTAAAAGAATTAGCACAGATAGCACAGTCGTATGCAGAAAAAAACTCAGCCAAGAGCACTCAACAATGACAAAGAAAGTATCATACAATGTCCACACACTTATCAAATACGTGATGCCTCGATGGTTTCTTGCATCTGCTCGAGAGTGGAGAACCAGCTCAGGTTTAGGGTCGCCTGCTCTTCGAAAGCATGTCTAGCAAAGCTTAGAAGTTCACCTCCGCTCCGTGTTCTAACAGCAATTTTACTAACTCTATACTGTTATCACTTTCAGCATCATGTAACGGTGTTTCCCCATCATTGTTCTTAGTGTTCACCTCAGCACCGTGTTCTAACAGCAATTTAACTAACTCTATACTGTTATCACGTACAGCATCATGTAACGGTGTTTCCCCATCACTGTTCTTAATGTTCACCTCCGCTCCCTGTTCTAACAGCAATTTAACTAACTCTATACTGTTATCACTTTCAGCATAATGTAACGGTGTTCTCCCACTACTGTTCTTAGTGTTCACATCAGCACCGTGTTCTAACAGCACTTTAGCAAACTCTACACTGTTATTACTTGCAGCTTCACGTAACAGGTTTTCCCCATACTTGTCCTTAATGTTCACATCCGCTCCATGTTGTAACAGCAATTTAGCTACCTCTACACTGTTATTACGTGCAGCTACATGTAACGGTGTTAACCCACTACTGTCCTTTATGTCCACCTCCGCTCCGTGTTGTATAAGATAACCTGCAATCTCTTGTTTATCTTTTTCTGCTGCTACATGAAGTACTGTACTCTTGTAATTCCCACCTTTAGCATTGTAGTCCAAGTTGTTTACAGTGTAAACATCCAACAATTCAGTCACGTTTCCTTCTTTTACTTTTTCTTGTATAGTTCTCCATATCGGGTCACTGATTACGTATGACATGTCTGAAAGGAAAATACATTTATAATGTTTAAGGATGATAACTCGTCAAAAATATGTGGTAGACATTAGGTTGCATTTAAATTGAGAGAGAGGACCGCGCTTACAATTATTAAATAGTTTTTAACGATCAAAATTTTCTAATTTTGGCGACAAAATCCTTGATTGAATAGTTACGACAGTATGCCATCTGCAAAGTTACAGGTCTCCAAAATGAAAACGTTTTCACACAGATTTATTTCTTGCGAATAAAAATAGACCATTGACCTCATAATATTGTTGTCGTTTTGAAACTCAGAGATCTATTATATTCTCGGCTCATATGGGCCACTTCGGCCTGCCCCAGAACTTTCTGCGTGCCCCAGGGATTCTATATTAATTCTAACTCTAAACTGTCACGACTTAGTCATGCCCCTGTTAAGTTAGACTGCTGCATGGAGTTCTGGGTAGAATGTTCTGAGTACAACATGACCGAGGGAATGACGACGGTTATCAATTCCTTTTCATTCTTGGTGTTCAATCTCTTAATTAACAGAAAATTATTATTATAATTCGGAATATTATTTTTGTATATCTATATTTGACCATATATATTCGTATATATATATTACGAATTGTAATAGGTTTCGATAAATTACATCGATCACATGCTGTAATAATCTCTTTGGGTTGCGTTCGGGTCGATACCTAGTATTTCGGGATAAGGGTGGTAGTTAGTGAATTAGCTGAAGTTTATTGAATCTTTATTGCCGAGTACAGCTGTCTTCGGGTATGGTAGTTCTTCTTAATCTATTACAATTGTAAATGAATGGGAAAAGCGAGCGACCGATTTCATTCTCGGTATCATTTTGCATTTGAAAACGGTCAATCAAATTAATATCATTTCCTTTTGTTTGGGAAAGAGAGACACTGGCAGCGGTCCACTCTACCCATGATTATGGGTTTTGGTCTAATATCATCTCTTTTTGATTATAATGTCAGGGTACTTTATGAAGTCGAAATATAAACTGATATCTTCATTAATAAGGAGGAAGTTTCAACGATTTCGAAATTTTTCCTTTAAAAACATTTCCTTGTGTTTAGGTAAGCATATCGGTCGATCACTGGACACTGACTGAATATGCCACTTAATACTTATTCAAGTTGGCATTAAATTCATATATAATGACATTAAACTGTCGTGGCAAAGCAGAATTTGTTGGAAATCACGAATGAGCAAAATTCTCGCCTTTCGCACGTGCAAACTTTGAGCGGACGTTGCGTGCGCATCCAATATTGAATCGCCGTAAATTTTTGCATGTAATTGTTTTATATATAGTTTAATAAGCATGCAAAGTTTGAAAGTATTTCAAGAAGAACTGTAATCACAATGGCACTCTAAAGTTGACAGAAAATGACGAAAACAGCAATTTTCAGTGATTTTAGCGATTTTCTATCAATTTGGGCGTGTCCCCACGTGTGCAACTTTTCGATTTTCAACTTTAAAACTAGCCTAATGCACAATTTATACCTATAGGAAGCAGAACTGAGCTCCACAACCCAAGGCATGGCCCAACACCAGAGAATACTAAATCGCAAAATTGACGTTTTTATAAAATAATTCTTCAAAAAAGTACAAACTTCAATGACGAATATCTTTATGAAGGAGCAAGCTAGAAAAACTTTCCGGTAGATTTTCAGAATGCTTGAACAATTATCTAAGGTGAAAATGTCCTCAGATTTTGAATACAATTACTTTTTAATGGTGTAAAATCATTTTTAAAAGTTATTACTTTGTCAAAAATCAAGTTTTAAAAACGGTTAACTTAATGACGTCATCAAGGGGTGTTCATGACGTCAAATAATTTGTTTATACAATGTAAACTAAAGTGTAAATAATTATTCTCAAGACCTTTGGTCGGAAATGGCTGTATCTTTTATACTTTTGAATCTATGGACAATTAAATACAGGCTACAATTGACTGGCAAAGCGTCTATCCCTGAATATCACAATGCTGGCAAGCGTGACCGTGCCTTTTATACTCACAATACTATTTACCCCCTTTACTATTTACCCCCTTTACTATTTACCCCCTTTACTATTTACCACCTTTACTATTTACCCCCATTACTATTTACACCCTTCACTATTTACCCCCTTTACTATTTACCCCCGTTACTTTTATACCCCCTTTACTATTATACCCCTCTATTGTTTTTCAGGCATTAAGACTCATCGAAAATAGTTCAGCAGGTATATTTAAGTTCAAAACATTCTAATTTAATGTAATATGACAGGAATAAGAAATAGTTATGTGAAGGTTTTTAATTTTAATAAATTTGCGCAAAATACGCGCCAGCATGTTATACGAAATAAGGTAAAAAACCCAAAATCGCCATATTTAGCTGCCTTAAAAACCATGTTAAAATTGAGTTAGAGATCTGAAACTTTGCAGGGCGTCTAGATGTTGACCAAATCAACTGTTAAAAAAATTTCGTGTTTCAGGAGTATCGGGAAATGGGTTTTCTGGAACCCCTGTTTTACGATAGATTGTCGTGATACATATATTCAGGGATAGACGCTTTGCCAGTCAATTATAGGCTACATTCAGGTGTCTGTAGATTTGTACCTATAAAAGATACAGCAATTTCCGACCACAGGTCTTAAAGATAATTGTTTACACTTCAGTTTCAATTATATCAAAAAATAATTTAACCTCATCATCACCACTTGATGACGTAATCAAATTAAGTGTTTTTAAAACTTGATTTTTGACAAAAAAAACAACTTTTCAAACTGATTTTACACCATTAAGAAGTAATTTTATTCAAAATCTGAGGACATTTTCACCTTAGATAATTGTTCAAGCATTCTGAAAATCTACCGGAAAGTTTCCCTACCTTGTTCCTTCATAAAGATATTTGCCATTGAAGTTAGTGCTTTTTTGAAGAATTATTTTATAAAAACGTAAATTTTGCGATTTAGTATTCTCTGGTGTTGGGCTATCCCTTGGGTTGTAGAGCTCAGTTTTGCTTCCTATAGGTATAAATTGTGTATTAGGCTAGTTTTAAAGTTAAAAATCTAAAAGTTGCACACGTGGGGACACGCCCAAATTGATAGAAAATCGCTAAAATCACTGAAAATTGCTGTTTTCGTCATTTTCTGTCAACTTTAGAGTGCCGTTGTGATTACAGTTCTTCTTGAAATACTTTGAAACTTTGCATGCTTATCAAACTATATATAAAACACCAACACGCAAAAATTTACGGCGATTCAATATTGGATGCGCACTCAACGTCCGCTCATAGTTTGCACGTGCGAAAGGTGATAATTTTGCTCATTCGTGATTTCGAACAAATTCTGCTTTACCACGACAGTTCAATGTATATAAATTTAATGCCAACTTGAATGAGTATAAAGTAGCAAATTCAGTCAGTGATCGACCGATATGCTTACCCAAACACAAGGAAATGTCTAATTTCTAATTAATCAAAAAGAGATGATATTTTACCAAAACCCATAATCATGGGTAGAGTGGACCGCTGCCATGAGTGTCTCTCTTTCCCAAACAAAAGGAAATGATATTAATTTGATTGACCGTTTTCAAATGCAAAATGATACCGAGAATGAAATCGGTCGCTCGCTTTTCCCATTCATTTACAAATGTAATAGATTAAGAAGAACTACCACACCCGAAGACATCTGTACTCGGCAATAAAGATTCAATAAACTTCAGCTAATTTACTAACTACCACCCTTATCCCGAAATACTAGGTATCGACCCAAAGAGATTATTACAGCATGTGATCGATGTAATTTATCGAAACCTATTACAATTCGTATAAGCCGTGAATGAATGGGAAAAGCGAGCGACCGATTTCATTCTCGGTATCATTTTGCATTTGAAAACGGTCAATCAAATTAATATCATTTCCTTTTGTTTGGGAAAGAGAGACACTGGCAGCGGTCCACTCTACCCATGATTATGGGTTTTGGTAAAATATATATATATGTATATATATATAGATATCACGACAATCTGTCGTAAAACAGGGGTTCTAGAAAACCCACTTTCCGATGTTCCTGAAACCTGAAACTTTTTATGCAGTCGATTTGGTCAACGTCTAGACGCCCTGAAAAATTTCAGATCTCTAATTTCAGACCGAATTTCGTATAACAGTGCTGGCGAGTATTTTATGCAAATTTCTTAAAAATCTCAACATAACTATTTTTTATTCCTGTCATCTTTGACATCAAATTAGAATGTTTTGAACTAAAAATAAATCTGCTGAACGACTTCCGATGAGTCTTAATGCCTGAAAAACTCCTGCCGGAGGCGGCGGCCTTCGGCCGCCGCCTCCGGCCGGAGTGCACGCTTCGCGTGCACGAAAGAGGCTTGTAACGTGTATCAAAGGGGGTATAATAGTAAAGGGGGTATAATAGTAAAAGGGGTATAATAGTAAAGGAGGTACATAGTATACCCACAATAAATGCACCGGTCGTGCTTGCCAGCACTGTGATGTACGACCGTCCACGTACAAATTAGATGAGAAATAGGAAGTTAGGTGAAACCCAGAAGGTTGCATAGCAACCGGCATCGGTGTTGAAATGCACGCGTTCACGTGCTAAGATTATTGGAACGGCATTTTAATTGGCTTGTGGTAATTAAAAGTGTTTCAAATTTAAATCGGCTGTATCTTCGGTTTCTTTCAAAGAACACTATTAACTTCATCCCTGTCACCACGGACTTTCAATATTATAATTCAAAGAATTATGTTTGTTTGTCTGTCTGTACTGTACGACGGCCCACGTGCAAATTAGGTAACAAGCAAAAAGTTACAAAGTAACCATGGTAACGAGGGTTGTTACACGCATGTGCACGTGCAAAGAACGGCATTTTTATCGGTTTTGTTGATATTACGTTGTGTTTAGTGCGAGCAACATTTTAATCGGCTGTATCTTCGGTTGTGAAGGATATTTTTTGACGCGATTTAAACTTAATAACAAAAAATACTATTAGCTTCCTCCCTGTAACCACGGGTTTTCTAGTCTTACTTATAATTCAAAAGATTATGTTTGTATGTACAACCGCCCACGTGCAAATTAGATGAAAATAGGAAGTTTCATAGTAACCATGGTAACAGTGTTGAATATGTAACCCAATTAATCACTAACAATTAAATAACTAGGTTAATTACTTATCATAATTGGAAAATATTTCACTTAACTTCATGCCTTGATTGAGGCATTAAAACTTTATGTAGGCTTATTTTTGTTGCGGGCAACGATTTCCTAGAGACTAGTGAAAAGTAATATAGTACAGACAGAGCCGTCTAAAAATCGAACTATTGACACAAGAAGCTTCCTTAGGATTTTTGACGTTTTTGAGTCCCATTGGCATTAGATGCCCTTTAGGCCTTTATGGCTGACCAACTTTTCCTAACTTTTCCACGTGTTTGTCAAATATCTTTAGTTATGAACATCGTAGAAGGTTGCAGATTAATCGAGGGTGTTAATCTTATCAGGGAGAAATTTTGTAAGACAAATTTTACGTCAGATGATCAGTTAGTTGGATAATTACCAATTGATATGGGACAGGATATTTGGGGGCCATGATGATCAGCTCGGGATAAGTGTTGTACGGATCGAATATCATTGAAAAGAGGGAGTTCACATTTTAGACTTCCAGGTCTAGCGCGATCATGTTAGAAATACCGGGAAGATCGTTGATGTATATGACGAAAAGTAAGGGACCTAGTATGCTCCCTTGTGGAACACCATGCACAATAGGCTTGTGGGACGAATGTGAATTGTTTATTGCTACATATTGGCTTCTATCACTTAGGTACGACTCAAACCACTTTAGAGCTATTCCCCGGATGCCGTAGTGCTGTAATTTATTTAGCAGTGTAGCATGATCCAGGACGTCAAACGCTTTACTGTAATCTAATAATAGCAGTAGTGAAATTTGGTTTTTGCTAAGAGAGTGTATAATTGTACTTTGTGCATTAAGAAGAGCATGTTCACAGGACCTTCCTGCGGTCGTATGGATTGAAAAGAGCAGTGATTCGGCTGCTACAGTCCATAAAAAGATCATAAGATGTCACATAATAACCTGGGATTAACGACTCACAGCACTTTATGCAGCCTAAATTATCTCTAAAGCACTTTTTATGAATGTACTCATCGCACCATGGACAAAACCTAATGTTTAATCTAGAATAACAAAACCCGTTACAGGCCATGCACTTTGTTTTAAAATTAGTCTTGTTAACACTACTTTTTTTATTCGTCGGGACATCAGAGGCATTGATTGGGAGAATTGAGCTTATGCATTCATAGCAGAACCATGGGTTCCCAGAATTTATAATGTGCCGGGCATCGTTTTTTGATAACAAATTAAAAAACTACCTTATGCATGTAGAAATGTTGTCACAAATAAACCAGCGTGATGCTGCTAAAAGATTAGTCACTGCTGTTTACAGCTGCAGTTAGTGACTATTCATATGTAATTGCTCTCCTCCAAATATGTACTTGGGTTTATAAACGCGCGACAATTTCATCATCAGACGAAAGTTAAGCGCTTTTGAGTTGTGGAGTTATTTGAAAAATTCCGGTCCTCGATATATTGCGGTGACCTTGATCTGCTTTATATTATAATCGAATTTATTCTGCTCGAGATCAATGATTTGAAGAACCGACAAAGTTTTCCGATATTATTTTGCAGAAACTTTATAATTACATAGAGCCACCCAGACGCTACCACGATCTAATTAGTCAAAATAACATAGTTAACAAAATGCAGTGGGAAACCTGTGACAGCACCACAACTTGATTATTTGCATATCTTTTAACAAGGCCGGGGCAT